ATATCTATTTTCCCAGGTACAGACAGATATACCCCAGAGTTGGGGTGCCCATTAGCAAATCACACAGGCCTCTGCAGCTGTGTTTTGATTAGCAGAAAAGGTTCTCTGGCATTCGAGAACTGAAATCACCTTTTAGGATATGACAAGCGCAGCCGAGCATCTTGCAAGTGAAAATCAGAGGTTTCTCCAAGGAAGGAGTGAAAACGACCACAAAGAATTAAAAGGAGAATAACCTTTAATGGTTTCAAGTGTGAAAGCTCAGTCACGCTGAAGGCCTGCCATCCATCAGGCAACATGGCAGTCCAGGCTCTCTGCAGGGCGAGACTCTAGGAGGAGGAGATGGTGAGGAGATGGTAAGGGGTCCCAGGGCCAGCCTGACCCAGCACCTTCCCTGGCTGGGCTCCAGCAGGTGCAGAGGGCAAGGATGGTGGCAGGAAGAGCCAAGAGCATTATATACTATGATGTGTGCCGACCTGCCTCAAATGACTTTTGAGCAATATGCAAATCAGTATGCAAATCACCACAAGACCTCTTTTATTCCCTGTGGCTCAGGTGCTCCTTTCAGATGACAGGTGGGTATTTTCCTGTTTGCATGCTCCACCATGGACTTCCATGCCCAAGCTCTCAACATCAATAGGAGAGTTGTGTGTTTATGTTACAAATGAAGATTATGGGTCCATTATCTTAGATACTAAGTGAATTGCCCAAAATAAATGGCATTTCCATACATCCTAGTCTCTTTGACACTTGATAACAATGTAAAGGAGCCTGAGCTGATTGTATGATCCCTACTGACCCGGACCTAAAGGTATTAAAGAAGGTTAATTTAGCCAGACTACCATTGAGGTTTCTTTTGAAGCCAGGTGCCCTAACTGCAAGTCTAAAATATTGCACATGAAATATACAGCAGGACTGGAGAGCCAAGGAAGATACAAAAAGCAGAATATCCTCAATTTTCCTCCCTTCATAAGAGGGGAAGAGTCCTTCACTAGAGGAAGGAATGATCATGGCACTGAGGTGGGGATGAGGGAATACCAGGGCTTTGTGGAAAGTATGCTCCAGATGATCACAATGTGTTCCTAGATAGCTCTGGCAGAAAACTGCACATTATTTCATTCTTTCCTCAAATGTGTATTGAGGAACCACTGTAAGCCAGACACTGTACTATGCATCTGACATTCAGTTGGAAGCAGATAATTGTCAGTGGTGCTAAGAGATGAGAGATGGGCAGAGACTAATAAAGACAAGGCAATCTCCTTGAGGAAGGATATCTGGGCAAAACCCCCTAAAGGAGCATGAGCCAGCCACACAGGAGCTGGAGCTGGGCCTTCAAGGAGGGGTGTACCGTAGCCAGAGGTCCAGGGACAGAAAGGTCTATGAGTCTGAGAACACAAAGAAAGTGAGCCTGGCTGAAGTTGGCTGGAAGGTTGCAAAGAGCAGCTGGTACAAGATGAACTTGGAAAGGGACCCTGGAAAGGACAAGCAAGGCCTAAGTGGGTTTTTTAAGTAGACTTTAAGCTACCCCTAAACTGAATGACTTAAAGCCAACAGTTTTGGTTTTTAATTAAAACAGATTAAATAGTATAGTATTCTATCTATAGTATGTAGTAGTCGTCCAACTTCAGCATGTATCAGGATCATGTGGAAGGCTCCATCAAGCTCCTGGATCTGCCATACTTCCTATCTGGGGTGGGACCTGTGAATCTGCCTGTCAGCAAGTTCTTAGGTGATAGGTAATGCTGCTGGTTCTGGGATCCCACTTTGAGATGCTGTATTAAGAACACATCACATTTTATTTTTTGAAACTTGTTTCAGTAATACATACATTCTTTAGCATGTATGGTCCTGGTGAAAAATATATTTTTAAAGTGGGCTATAGTAAGAAAAATTTGAAACTCCCTGATCCAACAACATAGAACCCTCTCTAGAAGGCTCTAATTGACTGCTAGAAATCAGGTAAATAACAATAAATTAGAGAAATTCTGGCTCAAATAGGAAATGTGATTCTCTGTAGATGATCTCACCTTGGTCTTAATTAGAATCCTCAAACAGACTGTGCTGGCCTTGGACAAAAAGTCCAGGATGGTGCTGTAAGCCACTTGCCTCCCAGTGCAGGGCTCAGGGATGGTCTGGCTGCTGTGACAGCACCTCCACCACCTGGTGCCATTCCACAGTACTGGCATCCCCCCAAAGGCCCAGCAGGGTTCTGTCCGCAGCTGAGGGTCCCCGTGGTTCCGAGCATGTTCCCCACACACTTGCTGGCTGGTTTCCTCTGCAGGTGAGCCTTGTTCTCCCAGGAGCTATCTTACTTCCAGATCTTCATGAGAAATTGGGGGTAAGTCCCAACCTCACTCTCTGGACAGTTCTGACGTCAACTATAAAAAAGCATCTAATTCTTGTTTGGGAACAGACTATCTTGGTGGGGAAGTTGAGGGCTTCTCTCTGGAACCCTGACAGAAAAGCAGCAGCCTCTGGAATCTACACTTAATCAGGAATCTAGAAAATTGTATTCATTCACTCATTCATTCATCAAGCCTTTACCAAGCACCTACTGTGTGCAAAGACCTCGCTCTGACAACAGCAGTAGGGAACATGGGGTCTCACCCTTTCCAATTCTTGCCCAAATTCACTGGGTAACTGTGGCCTGACACCGCCCTTCTTAGAAATGTAGCCCACCAGTAGAACACAGTGACACTATGAAAGGTTAGCATGGCAGAGGGCCAAAAGTGTAACTGAATCCCATCTCCTCACTTTATAAGTGGGAGCTTGGGTCACAGCACAGGAGAAAGACTAGCCCAGGGTCACACGGTGTGCTGCTAGCAGAGCCCTCTGGGGGCCGCCTCCCACTGGCTTCCTTCTACTCCTGCTCTCAGCCTCATCCTTCCCTCCTGATCTCCCAGGGCAGTCATGAGGATGAATAAGATGATCCAGTTGGCTCCTGGAAGACATGGCAGACACCAGAAAGTTGCTGGCTTCTTTGACACTATGACATAGATGATATCCCAGGGAGCATTTTTGGGATGTGAGGACCCAGGCCAGGGACAGAAGCATTAAGCAGCTTCCAAACCCATCCAAGTGGAGCTGATCCCCCACCAGGCACCTTCCCAACTACTATATCTCTGTTGATTCCTCATGGCACAGTTCAGTAGCTGCCACACAAGTGATGCCCTCCCTCATCATCATTCAAAAGAACCAACCTCTCCTGCTCCAGGAAATCAGCGTGTGTCTCTCTATAGCACTTCTCTCCTGCCTGAGTGGGAGAGTTGATCCATTCTGTCACTCACCTCATACAACCATGTGGTGTCAGAAGGCCCAGTAGTTTGGAGATTCCCACAGCCACTGGGCCTGGGAGTCCATGCATAGACAATTCTGAGGGTACACAGTGGATGTGATACCGGAGGCCCTCAGAAGCTCTGGTGAAGGCAGAGTTTTATGCACACCCATTTCCGGGCCAACCTGTGGTCTCCTTGAGCACAGGGGTGGTTCTGTATACATTTGCCCAGCCCCAGGAACCACTCTTCCTCAGAGAATCCTCTAGAAAGAGGTGAGAACCCAGGGATCTGCAGTCTCCTTGGAAAACTCCAGGAAAAGACAAGTCCAGGGAAATCTCCTTTCTGCTCTTCCACCACCTTGGCCCTCCATAGCACTAGATGGGTGGGTCTGGGGCGGTCTGCCCAGGATGCCTTCTCTGGGTCCTGTCCTGCATGTTCTACAAGTGTGGATGTCCAACCTCCTAGCTTGTCTGGGACACAGTGAGTGAACACTTGCCTTGGGCTGCATGTAAAAATATATACTGTATTGTGAAGAGACAACCCACAATGTGGGAAAAAATTTTCACCAGCAGTCCCTCAGACAAAGGTCTACTATCTTGAATCTATAAAGAACTTAAAAAAATCAGACCTCACAAATTTAAAGACTCAATCCAAAAATGGGCATCTGAAGTGAACAGACATTTCTCAGACAAAGAAGTAGAAATAGCAAATAAACACATGAAAAAATGTTCAACATCACTAGTCATTCGAGAGATGCAAATGAAAACAATGCTGAGATTCCACCTCACCCCAGAAAGAATGGCTGCTATCAAGAAATCAACCAATAACAAATGCTGGCAGGGCTGTGGGGAAAGAGGAACACTGCTCCACTGCTGGTGGGAGTGTAGACTGGTGCAACCACTGTGGAAATCAGTATGGAGACAGATACCTCAAAGAACTAGGACTGGAAGTCCTATTTGATCCAGTTATTCCCCTGCTGGGTATCTTCCCCAAAGAATTAAAAGAATCATACCACAGTGAAATATGTGCGCCCATGTTCATAGCAGCACAGTTTGTAGTAGCTAAAACTTGGAAACAGCTCAAATGCCCATCAACTGGAGACTGGATAAAGAAAATGTGGTGTTTTTTTTTTAATGGAGTACTAGTCAGCCATAAAAAATGAAAAATTAGAGACATTTACAGCTATATAGATGCACGTTGAGGCAATACTTTTAAGTGAAATAAATAGGACACACGTGTAAATACCAAATAGTTTCTCTAGTGTGAGAAAATGAAAGTGTAAATAAGAACTAAAAGGTATAATAGGTAATGTGAAATAGGAAGAAAAGGGGCAAGGGGGAAGGGGAAGTGGGAGGGGTAGGGGAAAAGAAATGAGAAAATTAAAAAATGGAAACAAAGTCTTTATCGATAGGGAGGGGTGGAGGGGTTGAAGGGAGGGCAGGGGAAGGGGGAAAAATAAGAACCAAGAGAGATTATGTAAAGGTGCAAATTTCCAATGACTTTAACTGTAGTTAAAGTCAGAAAACTTCCTTTTTATATTTTATTTTATGAAATAGCACAACAAACCCCAGCTTCATAATGAAATAAGAAAACTTACTATCTGTTTAATAACCATAAACCCCATCTTCACAAGCATATCATGTGTCCCGTAGGTTGAAATACTATTATCAGTAATACCTGGGTTTTACTTACCAAGTTGCACAAGTACATGTGATGTCTGATACTCACAGGGTTTACATTCCAAGACTGTGTGTGGTGGGTGCAGGAGGTGGAATGAGCACTGTTGTTACCTACAAAGTTCAAATGTGAGAACCGCATAATCAAGTCATGAAAAAACCTCACTAAAAAATCACATAATAATGTTAAAGGCTTATCACCTTGTGGGGCTCCATTACTAACTATCCAGGGACCACATGTGGCCTGCAGGCTTTGGGTCAGACATGCCAGTTCTACATGGTTATCAAGAGAGACACTCGTGAGCCAGGGATTTAGCTCAGTGGTTCCACCGCCTGCCTCGCAAGCCAAGGACCCAAGTTTGATCCCTGGTACCAAAAAAAAAAAAAAGAGAGAGAGACACTCTTTAAGCCCAATATGACTGCCAGCCCAGGGACTGGCACCTAAGCCACATGGAGCCACTCAGGCATTTCAGTGATCCTTGAATCTAAGATGAAAAAAGAGTATCCAGTATCTTTGGGTGAGGTGTGGACTGTTCAAGGAACTCCATTCCCTTCTATGGAGGAATGTGTCAGGAGAGAGGGTAGAGGCAATGCTCAGGGAAAAGAAGAACAAGACATAGAATGTTCTGATGCCTCTAGATCCACTCAATTTTTGGATTCAAGAGATCCTATTGCACCTTTTCTGAGGTACTCCAGTATCTTTTTATCCCCTTCTTCCATATAGTGGCTCAACTTGAGTTTCTGCCGCTTGTAACCCTTGGTGTTCTAACAGTACAGTACTCCTCTGGGAAGCCTCTACACTTAGAAAATGCCATTCCCTTGGCATGGGGTCCAAGACTAGCTCCGGATGACAAACCACAGCCTACCTAGTTCGCTGGGATGCACTATATTCTTACTCTTTTTATAACCCATGTTCCATCCTTCTGACAACCCTGGAGGCCCCAACATGATTCCAACAAACTTTCTTCTTCTGTGATAATGAGTCAGCTTCTATTGCTTACAACCAAGAATGCTGACAGATAAAAGGGCCTCTTTGTAAGGCTACTGTGAAGCTCAACTGAAATCATACTTGTAAAGCAAGTCATTGACTGCCTGGCATGTGATCAGGCTCAGTTAAGTTAGTTATTGAGATGATTACAGAGTTCAATAGTCTCCATGAAGGGATGACCAGGGTCAAACACAAAGTTTTTATTAACCAAAGAGATAGCAAGAATCCTAGCAATCTTCCCCCTCTACTTTTAGACTTTGGCTCTCTACAGTCTCACACTTGCCATATTCACCCTAAATAGGCAACACTTGATGAACACAATATGGAGGCAAGGACCATCCAAAAGCCAGTGCTAAACAAACAGGAATGTCGAGTGATGATTTGGGCAACAAATTCTCCTTCTTCACTGTGGAATGGTAGTCCTAACATTAGAATCACTTTACAGTCTTAGGAGGCACAGCCAATGAGCAGCATAAAGAAGTTGCAGCAATAAAGGAAGAAAGACTCAATATCAGAAGCCAAGATCAACTCTGGAGGACAAAGAACTGTCCCAGGAACATGTACAGTAGCTGCCGTGGACTGCTTTAGCACCAGGCATGCTTGGAAGTTCGTGACCTGCTTCTTACCTGACAGGCATGGGAGCCAGAGAAATAAAGCACATAGCTATACTTTGTAATTGGGTACATTCCAGACACAAAGTGATCCCTGCCATTAACATCATCATTATCATCAATGGCATCTCTGTCTCCTTCCTAACATTTATGGAGCTATTATTATGCTTCAAGGAAGAGCTAAACATTTTACATACATTAATACACTTAATCATTACAAGGACCCTATGTGAGGCTGAGGGCACAGCTCAGTGGCAGACCACTTAGTTAGCATATGTAACCTGTGGGTTTAAATTCTCAGCAGTTCAAAGAAGCATGAAAACAAAAAACAAAAATAAAAACGAAACAAAAACAACCTTATGAGGCTGGATACTATTATTTTCATTAATAAACCGATGCTTAGAGAACTTAAGTGACTTGCCCAAGGTCATGCAGCCAGTAGGTGAGGGAGTCATGATTCACTCACATGTTTGGCTGGACCCCTAACCACACAGCTATAATTCAGTTGTACTTCTCCAAAAATGCCTTCTCCTTCCCTCACACGTCCTGACTCTAATTTCAGCCTGCCTTGCTCTCTACAGACCTTTCTCCACAGTCTTTGCAGCCACAGAACAGAACTTTTGCTAAAATGCTTTGCATTTTTTATTTGTAAAATAAGTTTTATGCCCAGATTGGGGCTGATGTCAGATCCTGTCTCTTCTACATTATAAACTCTTATGTACATGCCATAAAAATGTCCCCTTGATGCTTATGACAATATATTGATCATGGCCATTTAATCTCATGTAAAAGTCACAGGAGTGGCACACTCCATTCTGCCAGTTTGGCCCATAGGCTTTGAGATTATAAATACCCACTCCTACCAGTGCTGGGGGCAAAGGGACCAAGAACGAGGATTACTTATGAATGGAATTCTCAGGCACTCTGCTCCAGATTAATTGCTCTCAATCTTATTTTCCGGAGGCCGAATCCATCAATGGCAGAAAAATGAATCTCAGACACACAGCATCAATGAGGTAAAAATTCACAAGTGGCATGCATCTTTCTGAAAGGTGGTTGTACAGCAAGGCCGAGGTGTGTGGGTGTGATGCACAGTGGTGAGGCTCTGCAGCTCTGGAAGGGACAGCTGTGATGACCATCACACACGTGCTTGCCTAGGGAGCAGCTGCAGTTCACGATACCACACTGCCCCAGCCAGCAGCCCCAAGTTTCTTACTACTCTTGTGTTCCAGGGAGGCGGAGCACAGATCAATAAGATGTGTTGACAGAGGTGCCTGCGGCACAGCCATTTCTCAGGCTAGACACTGATGGCACCTATCACTAGCAATAAAAGGCTGCAGAGACAGAATTGAGGTACATTCTATTGCAGACCTGTCTATCCCTCTCTGATAAACATCTTCCGCACAAGCTTACAGCAAAGAAACAATTTTCAGGAGGCAAGGTTCCAGGCCACCTCCAAGGGTTGTTCCATTTTATTCCTGTGTGATGTGTGGGTCAGGGAATGCTCCTGGAGGGCTGTCAGTGGCTCCTGGCTCCCAGGAAGGTGTCACAAAGCCCCACGTGCTGTTGAAATCTATTCCAAATCAAATTACTTGAGGGAGACCACACCTCGTCAGTCTTCCTCATTTTTTGGAAAGGAAAATGCATTATTCTGCCAAACTACTTGCTTGAAGTGCTATTTGTTAAGCCCTTCTGTGTTTTAAAAATAAATAAATAACCTGGTGTAGATGCTGCAGTCAGTAGGTCTAAGGAATCTGCCTTCTCCTCCTGGGTGGGCATCCCTTGCTGATCTTGATCCAAACAGGGTAGTCGAGTTCTGAAATGGACAGCACAAGCAATATCCTCTGAGACTCATTGCTCCCTTCCAGTCTACATACACTGAATCAGAACAAAAATCCCCACCACCACCACCATAGCATCCTTCCCCTTAAAGGCAAGTGGGCGGGTGGGGTGAGGGGATGCTAGGAGCCCTCACTGGCCTTGGATTTGAACTCATGCCACTAAGAGGAATAAAAATCAGGAAAATAACATAATGAAAAAATTTCACTCCACAGTCGGCTCAGAGAACCTGTAGAACATTCCAAGATGGAGCTGGGAAAAGCATTTTCAATAGGATGGGCCACCTAAGCCTGGGCTTTTTAATTTCAGTAACACTGACATTTGGGGCTCCACAACCCTTTGTTGTAGCAGGCTGCTGTGTTGTACGATATTTAGCACAACCTCTAGTCTTTACCTACCTAATGCCAGCAGCACGTGTCACTTGTGACAACCAAAACTACCGCCAGATATTATGAAATGATCCTGGGCTGGAAGTTGCTCTCCACCCCCATCCCCCACCCCATGAAAAACACTGATTCAACCAAAGATATGGAGATGGAACTAAGTCCAGCATGTCCAGGATCTAAGCAGTACAGAGCCTGAACAGTTAATGTCCAAGTCACTGGGTGGCTCAGAGAGCTACAGGAGATATGAAAGTATCATCAACATCATCAGAGCAGCCAACTTTTGTTGAGTGCCTATCCCAGGCTAAGCACACACCAGGCATTCAACACACACCATCTAATAACCTTTCCTGGTTATAAACTTGAGTGCCATGGGCTGGTGACTCAGAGTAAGAGGCAGCCAAACCCACCATCCTCACCAAATATGGTGAACATGAGAGATCGTGGCCAGGCCACCTTGCTGCTGCACAGGGGAAAAATGGGGTGTGCTGTGACCCTGAAGAGGTGTGTTCTCAGCCTGGTGGTATTTCTCGATCCAGGATGAGCTGGAGAACTGGTACTCCTATTGGAAGGTCACCAGCTGAGGTAACCACCTACCCACACCATCCAATCTTGCATGAATGGTAAGTATGCTGGTCAGGTCTGTACTCCTCACCACACAAACAGCATTGTGACCATGACCTCCATAACAGCATCATCCTAGAGCTCTCTGGATTGATGCCCTCTAGAACAACAACACCCGCTGTCAGCATGTTTCAGTGCTTCAGAGCATGTATTAGTCAGCATCCCATCACTATAACAAATACCTGAGACATTCAACTTAGAAAAGGTTTATTTTGGCTCACAGTTGTAGAGGTTTCTATTGACAATCAGTGGCCCCATTGCACTTGGAGCTGTGGCAAGGCAGCATATCATGGCAGGAGCACATGGTGGAGCAAAACCACTTATCTGATGGCCAGAAAGTGAAAAAAAGTGCTGAGGTGCCACTCTCCCTTTTAAGGGCACCTGCCAGTGACCTGCAGACCTTCCACTAGTCCCCACTTCTTCCCAATAGCACCACTCTGGGGACCAACTCTTTAAAAACATCAAAGATCCACACTGTAACAGTGTGTGTATAGATGGAAGGAAACACTGCTTCCCTCTAGATTCATCCATTCAGTAGACATTTATTGAATGTCTACCATGTACCCTGCCCCAGGGAGAGGTGACAGTCTGGTGACCCCTTACCCCCACTCCTAGGCAAGCGACTACACAGATGAAGCTACTCAGTTTACATGGGAGAAAAATGAAGATCTACCAGATTAAAACACCTGGGTAAAATCCTGCCGCAAATAACAGAAAAAAAGTTTTAATGTAGACATTCTTTCCCCAAATCCTGGCTTTTTCTACTAAACACAATCTACTTTTAAACCACATTCACTGGGCCAAAAAGAAGAAACAGACTCTTCTACTTATCTTAACAACTGAATCACGCTGAAGGCAGATTAGGGGCCTGGGGGCACACAGTCAGACAACTGGCATTAGTCAGTCACAAATCATCCCAAATCAGAAGTGGTTCAAAGATGGTTTAATTCATGAGGGTGGGGTTAGCTTAGCTCTAAGCTCTCTGCCAGCTTCTTTAGTTCCAAATCAAAGGCCTTTAAAGACCACCTATAAAAAATACAAAGCAACCACAGCCCCTGAGATCTTAACAAGTTTGCATCCACACACTGGGTCTTCTCAACATGGAACATTCCTGCTCCAAATTCCTCCTTCACCTGGGCATCTCAAAAATTGAACACATTTTTTTCATCTTTTAGCTTTCATTTAGTTTTGTTCTCTCATGAAGATGTAACAAACCCGCTTTTAGGCACCAAGCAGCTTCAAAGCTAAGAGCCTTTTTTCTCATCTGTAAATTGGAAAAAGTAGGACACTTCACAGAGCTCCTCGGAGAATTCAGTGAACTAATGTGTAATCTGAACTCAGTCTGGATTCTGGTATGTGTGTAACAAATGTCAACTACCTTCTCCTTCTCTTTTTCCGGAGAATATCGCAGGAGTGTACTGAGAGCTGATAGAAGCTGATGAATCTCTTTGGGATTCTCCTATACACCAGCAGAGCTGAGCCGGGAGCAGGAAGAAGGCAGAGGCCCATTCAAATGAAGGGGATATGATTCCACAGGGGGAACTGCCCTGGTTGCCACCTTTGGCCTGTACTTAGAAGGTGGGCTTTCTGTGGTATGCATGAAAATAAGACCTGAAGCTGTCCCACAGGGTGTGGGGCCAGGAGAGTCCATATGAATTCCTCACATTCTTCTTGTTCATCTAGCTTGGGAACTCCTCATTTCATGAGCCTTAGACACCCTTTATAATAGGGGCTGCACATGGCAGATATCCATTCCAGCTTCCCTTGCAGCTATGTGTGCCCCTGCAGAGCTATGGAGCAAGCACCAAAGACCCCTCACCAAGACTTCAACTCAGAAGCCAGGACTTGTAAAGAATCTGATTTTCTGAGGAAGTCATAGGACTGAGAATGACAGCCATTGCCCAGACGCTATGCTGTCTTGGTCTAATGGGGTCAGCAGGGCAACTGCTCCTAGAGGCAATAATGACTGTGGCCCTTGACTAAATGACTCTGGACAGGATAAGCCTGATTCCCTGGTCCTACTAAAGAATGTGTGACCTCAAATCCTATAGTAGGTCCTTTCCCTACTTAAACTAGAATCTGTTGGTGAAGCTAAGAACTCTGATGAAAGTGACCCTCAGTTTATTTCCTGATCTTAAACATAAATGGTAGAAAACAGCACATATGCACAGGAAACTCCCCACCACTAACGCCCTCTACTCTTCTCTACAATGCTCCTCAAAACATGGCCCTAGGAACACACACATCAGAGTCAACTATGGTGTAACACGGGTAGTGATGAAAAGGCAGGTTCCTGTATTAGAAACATTAGGACTGCATTATTCAGAAATACACATTTTTACCAAGCAGTTTCCCTTCCAATTGTTATATTCCCTAAAAGGTGAAAACAATTGGTCTGTGTTGCTTCTTAACCTTTTCCTCATAGGCCACTGCCAACCTCTGTGTGGCTCAGTGTGTAAAAGGAAGAAGCTTTTGTGACCAGTGGTAAATGGCCCTGAGTGGCTCTGGCTGCCCTTGTCCCAAAAGCCACCCTGAGCCCTAAGAGGGAAGCATTATCTCACCCTTCCCAATTCACCTGTAGGTAAACTGGCTGTGCAGTTCTGGGCTATTTCAGGGCTACTCAAACTCTGGCCCATAAAGCAATTTGATCCATGAATTGTTCATGATCAATTCACAACATCAGAACTACAGAAACAGAGTGCATACTGAGAAGTATGCTAGATTGCTGGATAATTTCATGGTTGCTGAGTCTTTAAAACAATTTGGGGCTTATACTTTATGCAACTCTGTTCTCTATTTCTTTTTCTAGTGATATTTTTTAGTCATATTTTACAAAAGTTTAAATTTATGACAGATTTGGGAGAGGGGAGGGCAAAAACCACTGGTCTTTCACCAAAAAGGATCTTTCAACCTAATAGGTCTCTTGTATAGCAGAATAACCATCCAGTCATTAAGTTGCATGTCATTTAGAGGGTTCCAGGTAGTGTTGGTCTAGTCTGAATTCCCTCTGATGCATCTGCCAAGGAAGCTGTGGCCTTCTCTCTCACCATGGGTAGGGCCTCTAATTCTGACATTAGGTTAGTACCTGATATCCAAGGGCCTTTTTGTTTCTAGGCAGAATAATAGGAAGAGTCACTACTATGCAGAAACACAAGAAAAACTGTATGTCTCTCCAGAGTCAATATAGGTGACTCAGTGCCAAATGTTCCATCCTTATCCTAGCCAGTACTTGTTCCTAGATCAAATGTGACCCAGCCCCTGAGAACCTTTAGGGTGTAAGATTAATATAACTATGGGAATTTCCCTTTCTCCTTTAACTTCTTTATACACAATATCTATTTCGAATCATCTTTTAATAGGAAACCAAACCTGTTAGTTTGAACAACACATATGTAAAGTGTACAATTTGATCAGGTTTGGAATAAGTATATAACCATAAAATTATTGCTACAATCAAGTTAACAGATACTTCTATCACCCCAAGAAGTTTCATTGTGTCCCTAGACAACCTCTCTTGCTCTCTTCCACTCCTCTCCATGTCAGAGCAATCACTATATTACTAATGTTTTCTGTCACTATGGATTAGCCTGCATTTTCTAGCATTTTATGTAAATGGAATTACACTGTATTCACTCTTTTGGTTCTGGATTTTTACACTAAGCTTAATACTTTGGAGATTCATCCACATCGTAGCAAGTATCAATAGTTTATTCCTTTTGTATTGCAGAGCAGTATTCCAACGTATAGCTATTTCATAATCTACCTTATCTACTGAATTGAAAAGAATAATTTTAAAAAGGGAAATTTCATTTCCCTAATCCTCTTGAAAGTACAATAACAAGGAAGAAGTGCAAGAAAAGAAAGACAAACTTCTTGGCACTCATTTCTACCTCAGGATATTTGCACTTGCTCTTTGTTTGGCCCAGAATGCTTCTCAAATCTTGGCAAAACTGAAGCCTTCTCTTCATCCACATCTCAACTCTCAAAACATTTCCTCAGAGATCTGCTAAGATCCCCCTAATGGTACTTCCTGTGCTCCAATCCAAGTTACTCTTTATCACATTACAAAATTTTATGTTCTCCAAAGTATTTATCGTTGTCTGAATTTATTAAATCTGTTTGCTTGGTTTTTGTCGACCTCCTTCTTTAGAATGTAGGTTCCAGTAGGTCAGGGAACTTGTTTGCGTTGCTCACCATTAAATCCTTCACATTTAAAATACCAAGTGGAATGTAATAGATGCTCAGTAAACACATGAATGGTTACACAAAGGATAAATGAATGAGAAGAAGACTGAACTGTATTTTTTAAATTATAAAACCTTTGGTTTGGGAAAATACCAGAACTCCCTAACATAAGAAAGATACTTAGAAGGCCACCCACCAACACTGGATTTGCTCGTAGATCACATCAGACCCTGGACCTGAAGGAGCAGCTGTGACATGGAAACCGCTTACTGCCACGGTGAGAAAGCAGCCTGGGCTGTCCTCACTGTGCTGGCCGCTGCTGCCACAAATCATTGGAAATGCTAAATCATGTTTAAATCCCCAACTGGGGCCACAGGGAACGATGAAGGACACTCAGGCATAATTTACATACTGCCAGGCTCCTAAGAGCCTCTAAATAGAGCCCTCACAGCCCCTGGGCACTATTTTTGAGGAGAAGGACATCAAGTGACAGATTAAATTGAAGCTGCTCCCCAGCAGCAGGGGAAAAGGAGACCTCACCCTCTGCTTGCTGACATCTGTGAGCCCGGAGAGAACACATGCTGTGAGATGCCTCCCCGGGAAGCCAGTACCACATGCAGCACGGTACACATGTGCTCTTGACTCTTGCAGGGTCCTCACCTCCAGGGCTAAGAGGTATTTGGTCATTCCTTTCCCAGATTCCAACCATAAAAAATGTTTTAATCTCAATGCACAGAGGAGGGGGTTTCCAGAAGAATACTGAGCCTTCTGCCTATAAATGTTACATTACATTTGGTCACAACATGGTTACAATATTGAAAATGAATTGGGGGATGCAGCAATTATCAGTCTTAATCCAGACCAGATATGTCTCTGGGGCCGGACAGGTGGCTAGCATAAAATGCTCCATTGTAAGGATCAGGATAACTTTTTTACAATCTAACAAAATGAGAAGCAAAAACGCCAGAAAAGCAAGGCCTAGGACACCATAAGAGGTTAAGATTTTTCAGGAGCACAAATAAAAACAGCACCTGTTTTATTCTTTGGTTTGGTTTTGTGAATAGCTCAGAGGAGTCTACATAATAGAGCCACATGAAACAACCAAGTGAATACAGGTTAGTACCTGAACAGCAGCCCAGTTACACGTCTATTAGTGCTCAAGGACCTTCCGGAAGCATAAAGATGGACTGGAAATGATTCACATGCACAACTGCATTTGGGCTCCTGCATGACCTATTCTAGTCTCAAATTCCTTTATGAGTTGGGACTTCCCATGAGATCATTAGAGATTCCCTATGATCACCATTTTTACTCTAGCCATTATACGGTTCCTTTTCTCTTAACACTGAGCCAGGCAATAATACAATCCCAGGAAATAACCTATTTGACTAATTGCCTGTAAGCATTAATGGAAAGCTTCTGTTTGTTTCACAGTTCCATTCCCAATGCTTAGCACGTGACTCTGTAAAGTGAATGGATGAATGGCTGAATAGAGAATGATATTTTAACCATATTATATCATTTGATCCTCACAACAACCCTGTAATGATAATAATAGTTAACACTTACATTGTGCTAATTAAATGCCAGCCACTATTCTAAATTCTTCATACATATTAACTCTTTTAACCCTCCAGAACCCTATGAAATAAGGATAATTATTGTCTCCATTTAATAGATGAAGAAACTGTTGGAGGCATATGGAAGTCACACTGCTGTTAGGAGGCAAAGCTGACTCCTGCTAGATGCTAGTGAGCACTATCCTTTTTCTCCACTCACTGTGTTTAACGCAGCAGGAAGTAGAAGGTAGCGACATTAATGTGAACAAGGTTACCCTCTGCATGAACGCGGAAACCTAAGGCTGTGTTCCGAGACACTGTTAAATGACACAGCCAGGGTATGAGCTACGAGTAGCCTGACTCTGAGAGCACTCTCAGTGCACCAACAGCACATGTAGGAGAAAGCTGGTCCCTGCAAACATTTGGGATCGGCCTAAGAGAGGCCGTCCAGGGCTCCTGAGAGAGTAGGCGCTGCTTAGTCTTAGCACTATTCTCCAGGAAAGAAAGGGGGACAAACCCCTGGAAAACATGAGTTCCCCTTCAACCCTCCTGAAATCATGTTGCTTTGGTTGCAGAAGGAGAAATGTGCTGGCATAGCCCCATGTTCTGTCCCTGAGTATGCCTGACAGCCTGCCCAACGACCAGAGCAAAGTCCTTGAGGAAGCTTCCTGCATTACTGCCCAAGCCAGCTCCTGAAGACATCTTCTCAGGGAATGGAGGAAGCTGGTGCCAGAGTGGAAGACCGGACAGAACAAGAATTCATAAACGTCATAAACTTGAAGAGGAGGAAAAGGTTGGAGCTAATTCCTGACATCAGTGTGAGTTTGGATGGTTTCAGGATGACAATTTAAGAGATTTGTTGCTTCTGTTTGAGAAGGAACAAGAAAGCAGGGAGATGGGGGTTTGAAGCTGGGAAATATTAGTCCTGTAAATTTATACCTCCATAAACTGGATAGTAAGTTGAACAGTATTGCTACCTTGGATGGAGGATAAAATCTGGGAGAAAAATGTTAGTGCAATAATTAAGAAAACAGTCAATTTGGAAAAGGGGGATGAAAAGAGATGGGTGGGTAGACTATGCCCCCCTGCATTCCCCTGTATTACAAAGCTGAAAACAGAAGGATGCCTGTTGGGACTGAAAAGGCTGCATAGGACTGATTCATATTCAGTATGTGGATAAGACAAAGCTACAACTCTGACTCAAACTGCAGTCTCAAGAAGAAACACTTCTCTCACTTAGAAGAGTGGAGGAAGAAAGATCTTCCCTCAGAAGTCAGCAGGGAGAACCCCAGAGAAAGACTCCTAGGGAAGTCATAGCCCATCTGAGCTTTGTGAGATTTGTAAATCACCACCAGTGTGAGTGACAGCATGGCCTTGCTAGGGGACCCACCCCATCCATCCCCGTTTTTTAAACCAAACCTTTCCATTTCATTTTTCTATCAAACTGAAACCAAAAGACACTTTGCCCTATGAAAACTGATGGAGACAAGCTATCTTTCCTAGGGAAGGTTTCCCTGCACACAGTCTTGTTATAAAACCAAGGTGCACGTCTCTGAAATCTGTGATCCATTCTTTAAAAATGGAGGTTTTGTTGAAAAAGTAACAGAGCACAGTATAAAAAACAAAAAACGAAACGTTGTTTCAGGAGATTTGCTAAATTAGTGAACCTAGGAGTCAGCTGAGAGGATGTCCTTTATGAATGGAAATGAGCGTCCCTGGTAGACCCCCAGTCACCTCCAAATGAGCACATACTGGAGTACAGGACCCCACAGAGCTCACACCTAGACCCAGCTGAAGACGCTAATGAGAACTAATTACATTCGCCAGATCCCAAGATTCTACTTCTTGAGCTGGTTAGGGATCCGTGCACCCTGCTGGGCTTTCTTAACATCCTACTAGTATGCACTAGGTTCCAAGAATTAGCTACACTCTATTACTTAGTGCTGATTTTTTTTTTCACGCTCAGAAAACCGCAAAGGGATTTAACCAAAAGGAAGCAAAGGTTTTCTTTTCATAAATTCGATTAGTCTTTTCTACTTTCTCTGCCTCGGGACATTTCCTTTGGGAAGAATTTTTATACCCAAAGACCCCTTAGCGAGGCACTGTTGCATGCGGGCGCAGTGAATTTAACTGCAAGACGCTCGATGTGGACGGAAAGTAAAAATCGCAGGCACTTGCAAGCCGCTAGCCAAGTCCGTTTCGGAATGCCATGTCGTTATAGGAATGGGCCCATAAAGGAAGAAAGACGAAGTTTGCCGCAGGCAGGCAAGGTTGAATCCTTGACTGGAGTGCGAGAGTGGGTGCTTTCCCAGCCAGCCCTCCGCTAACGACCGCTGAATGTCCCGCCCGAGCCGGCGCCGAGAGCCTGGTGCCCACACAGCGCCCGGCGCCCGTCTGGAGATAGCCCTCAGCGGTGGGCAGCAGGAGGCTCCCCAAAACTGCGCCTTTTAGCAGCCAGTACTTAGCGGATGGAGAGACAGCGCCAAGAGCCCACAAAGTAGACTCGGCCAGGGGCGGGGACCCCCACCGGAGCCTGCTCCCTCAGGCCTCAGGTTCGAAGCTGCTCTAGTGTGGGAGGGGAGGTTAGTTAGGATTTGAGCGATGGCACTTGAGCTAGGGAAGGAGTTCCTGAAACTCCCAGGGAAGTGTAGTCCCAGAGATGGGGAAATAACCAAGCCCACGGAAGGACTTTCCAAACTTGGTCTTTAACTTTGTGTCATTTTTCCTGCCCGCCTCGACTCCGACTCCCAGCACTCTAACCCCAAACCCTAGGAAACAGCCCTAAGGACTAGAGTCCAGCCCTCTCAGCCCTTCCTCTCCACCCACCCCCTCCCCCCACGTTTCTAGACAGGGAAAATACAAATAACCCCCGGGTGGTTAATGCATGCAGGCGCATCCAGGCGCCCCATTCCCAAACACACACAAGGCGATCACCACCCGCTGCATCCCACCCACCTCCGGGGAGGGAGGGACTGGGAACCTGATCTCCGGGCTCCAGCCGAAAGCTTCCCCATCAATAATGTTGATACCATCGGTGTGCCTCTTCCCCCACCCCCGGGGCGCCGCTGCCGCCTTTTTGCCGCTTTTTGCTGGGCGAAGGAAAACGAAACCTCCTCTACTGCCCTTACCTAGCCTCGCGTTGGGGCCAGGGAGGGCTGGGCCCCCGGGGTTTTCGAAGCAGGGGTTCGGGCAGGGCGCTTAAGGGGGGTCCTCCCGTTCTAGGCTAGGGAACCCAATCCGGGCAGACCGAACTGGAAAGAGGGGCTGGGGCCCAGGCAAGGCCTCATTCCAGACCCGGGGTCAGATTGGGCCTGAATCAGTGAATGCTGCGGGTGGAGGCGCCAGGCCCTAGAATGGGCCTCCAAACCTCCGCTTTCCAGGAATGGCGATTGGACCGAGAAGCCAGCCGCAAAACCCATGGCTGGGAACGCGATTGTGGCCCCGAGGCCTTGGGTCCCAGCGCTCCAGTCCCGCCAACCCAGCGAGGACTCTAGACCTTGGAGAACCCGAGGGTTCATTGAACTCCCAACTGAACTGCCCAGCGCCTCCCCCGGTGTGATTCCTCTAGGTTCGCAAGGTCGCGACCCTGGAGCAGCTGCTGCCTGGCTTCGGGCCACCCCCATTCCCCATCCCAGGTCAGCCCCTAAGAACCAGGCCCTCTCAAGGAACCTGCAGGTCCCGAACCTCTGCAACCCGCTTCCCCCAGCAGCTGCCCCATCCAGGACTGGGAGGGCGCGACCCCCTCGGGGCTCCAGGGGCGAGCTGGGCGGGGGAGGTCTCCAGCTGCAGCACCTCTCTCGAACTCCAACCTTATGCCCACCCGCTCAAAAATAAAAAAGGAACCCGCACTCTGTCTCCGTTTTTATTGATTTAATTATTTCTTTGCATCCCAGCACGCCGAGCCTCGCCAGCTCCCTGACACCCGGGCGGCCGCAACAGCGAACCACGGAACGTGGGCCCAAGACAATGGCCCGTAATTGATGTATTGCCACCAACAAGGAAGACCAACTCTCCTCTCCCCGCCATTCCAACCGCCCCCTTCCTCCCATCCCCCTCTCCTCCATCTCCCCTCTCCCCTCACCCGGCCACAGAGGGAAAGAAAACAAACAAGAAATTAGTGGGGGATGCCGCGCGCAGAGCGAGGCGCCTGCCTCTACACCGTCGAGGACGCAGAAGAACGAAAAAAGTTATCAAAGTTTGGATTCCCCCCAATTAATTCGTCTCTGCTCGCCCATTTTTAGGCGAACAGCGCGATGCAGATTTTGGGTGTTCTTTTCGTTCGCTTGTTTGTTGTGGTGTTTGGGGGAGGGAAAAGCACCCCCTCCTCTTCATCTTAATCACACACAGGGCAAGGAGTGAACACGTGTGAAGCTACTCCCGGGAGCTTCCGCGGCGCCCGCGGCGCGGACCCGGAGCAAGGGTCTGCGGGACCGCCAACTCCACTCGGTTCCTGGCGACACGCGGTGCTCTGGAAGCTCGGACTTGCAGAAGCCAAGAATGTTAGAGACAGACGAGGGCGGCTCCAAACGCCTGCACATTCAGGGAGAGGAACGCCAAAGTGCACAAGGGAGCGTCCGAGTACCTGGAAGAGTGTGGGGCTGGAGTGATTTCGAGGACGCCTGTTTGCCGGGTGGGGGTGGGATTTACACGTGCTACCGTACGTGTTCCCGGGGGTTTGGGGGAAGCCAGCGGCTCGCACCCCAGGAGCGCGCTGATCCATCTTTGCCCAGGGATCTCTTTAAATATTCAGTGAGAAATAATGGCATTTGAAGCACCACCTATGGAAACATTATTATCTTCATTCTTCAACATCAGCCCCACTGATAGCTTCGTTTGTCTTTTTATCAAAATCTACGGTACCCAACAGGACCTGGGGAGACAGGGAGAGCAAGGCGGGGCTGGGGGGGACGAGAACGGGCAAGGGCAGAAAGAATATGAGGGAGAAAAGGTCGAAAGGGTGAACTGGGAGAATGCAAGAAGGGAGAAGTTACACAAAGAAAAAAAAAGTCAACAGATGAAAAACAAACATTCACCCGAACACAACATCTAGACTTCAAAAAGGGAAAGGAGTTAAGTGCGGAGAAGAGTGTCATTTATGGGAGGGAGGTACGGGTCCAGAATACCCAAAGCTCTGCTCCGGTGATCTGTGTCCACTTCGCGCGAACAGACAGTGGCACGATCCAGACTCGAGGGCGCTCCCGAATTGGGGCGTCCTTATGAGCCCTCTCTTTTCCCGATAGCGAGATAGGGCAAGGATTGTGTATCTGCGCCTCCCCTCCTCCTCCATTACTCGGCCGAAGTTTAGACTAGTTTAGTCCTTCGGGCGCAGGACTTCGGGACCTTTGGAGCGAGGAGACCCGGGGCGCTAGGGGAAGAGCTAGGCTGCGCCGAGCGCCGAGCCATCAGGTTCGCGAGCGCCTGAGCCCGGCAGAGGGAGTGCGGGACCCGGGCTCTGAGTCCAGGGCGCGGGTAGGGAGGCTGCATCCCAGCTTGGGGAGATAGAGGTAGAGTGAAAAGTTTGGGGGCCGCGCTGGCAAGTGCCCGAAAAGTGTAGGCGAGCTTCAGCGCAGACAGGGAGCAGCGGACAGGACCCCCGAGCCCACTCACTCACTCCTGGCTCAGCGCCGCCACCTCGTTCCTAGAGGCTGGGGCGCAGACCCCTTCCCCAGGGCAGGGCGCCCAGGGGTCCGTGGGAGAGGGCCTGCCCAGGCCCCGACTTGGCCCAGCCGCACCTTCCCAGGCCCGGGACGCGCCGCGGCGCACATAGTAAGCGGCGCCCCTCCCCTCCCCCCGGGCCGAAGCTGAACTCGGAGCCGGTGCGAGTCCCCGCTCTCCACCCGCCCGGGGCTCGGCGGCGCCACTGTCGCCACCGCCTCCCGGCGGAGTGACGCGCCCTACAGCCAACCCGGGCAGCTGGGGGGGAAATTCGGGAGGGGTCCTGGGCGGAGCCTGGCCGCCCCCTTATCCCACGGGCTCGGGGCGCTTCTCCCGAAAACTTCAGCCCTAATTGTCCTGGGAATGTCCGAGGTAGAGAAGGGAGCTAGGGAGCAGGAGGATCGGGGCCCCCAAGGAAGAGGAGAGCGGGGGTGGCGAGAGCTGCCCCTCCCCCAGCCCCAAACCCATCACGTTCCCAAACCTTTCCTCGATCCTCTTCCCCGCGAGCCCGCGATCCAGGGGATGGAGAACTCGGGGCGAAGAAACGCCGAGCCGGGCGGCAAGCGGGAGGGAGGCCGGGCCGCGGGCGGGAGGCGGACCGGCGTGGGGCTGGCTCTTCCCCACTCGCTTATTTTTTTTATGAGGGTGGGGGTGGGCTGCTTTCTGGTAGCTCCTGAACGAAGAAACACTCACGAAACGGGACGTCTCCCCCCCCCACCCCCATCCTGCCACGGGACCTCCTCCCCCTGCGGCCGGCGCGGCGCGCCCGAGTTTGGAAGTTCGCTCGCCGCGCGCCCGCGCCCGCTCCCCACCCCCCGCGGGGGCGGCTCCATTCCGGGGAGGGCTTGCTAATTTGGGGCGGCCCAGCCCGGGATGGGGGGGGAGCGAGCGGGGGGGGCCGGCAGGGGCTCCGGGCGCGCAGTGGCGAGGAGGAGGCCCCCGGCGGCCGGGCCGCGGAGTCCCAGGCGGTCGCGAAGAGGGTTGACCCAGTGTCGGGCTGCGCGGCGCGCAGAGCCAGCCCCGCGGCCGGCTTATTGGGCCAGCGCGCGGAGAGACAGGGGTCTGCAGCAAATCACGAACTAATTGATTAAGGCGAGCGGGTTTGAATAGCGCTGGCCCGGTGCCAATCGCCTTTCAAAGAGCCCCTCTATGATTAATCGCAATGCATTATTGATAATCATAATTATAGCAGGACACATGCGCGCTGCGCCCGGGGCCGGGGAGCCGGGGAGGGGGCGGGCGGGCCGGCGGGCGGGGGGAGCCGCCGCCGCCGCCGCCGCTCGATTTCCGTAATTTTGAGAAGATTTTTTTTTAGTAATTTTTTATTCTGCCCCAGCTGATGTTTGAGCCAGCATGTCGCGGAGGAAGCAAGCGAAGCCTCAACATTTCCAATCCGACCCCGAAGTGGCCTCGCTCCCCCGGCGAGATGGTGAGTGCTTCGGCCCGCGCCGCGGACACACAGACACACACGCACTCACACTCGCGCACACTCGGACCCACGCACACGCGGTCGGCCCCCGCGCCCACTGCTCCGCCGCTGCTGGGTCCCAGCTCGCCTTTTCCACTGGGCGTATTTTCTTTTTTTCTTTTAAATTTTCAATTTGCCCTGGCTGGGCTTCTCCCCCTCCATCGCCCTGGGGAGAGGAAGCACCTCTCCCTGCAGGATCTTTCCGGAGTTGCTGTGTCCTCCTGGGGGAGGAGGGAGAGTGCCGGCCTCGCTCCTCAGTCCCGGCTTTTCCGGGGAGCCGAGGCCAAGGCGCGCAGAGCTACCTCCAGGACCCGGACGCCCCTAGGGGCGCGGGTGCGGGCAGAGGCATTGGTGCATCCCGCGGGGGGGCCCCTCGCGCTCCCTGCACCGCGCCGCGGGCCCCGGCCCGGCCTCTCAGCCTCCCGGCCTCGCAGCCTCGGCCCTGCTGCTAGCGGGAAGGAAGTTTACTTGGTGCTGATGGCCGTACTCGGAGCGAGCGCGTGGGGAGCTCGCTGTGCCGCGCTTCCCTGAGCTAACACTTCCCCTGGACCCGCGGGGGCGGAATGGGGTGCTTTAGGGAGTTCAGGGCAGTTAAGAAGGTGGGGACTTGGGTCGGGGCGCGACACCAGGGTGTCGCGGCCGGGGTGGAATACTCTTTCCTGCTGGTTGCTGCGGAGACGGTGCAAGCGGACGGGAAAGTGTAGGGTTCCGACTCCTCAAGCTTATCCAGGCGTCTTTCTCCCCGTTCCTGCACTGCTAGCCCCCCCAAAATCTGGAGATTTGTTTTAGTTCTCTGCAGATCGCTGTGCCCCATACTTCCAGAGTGGTCGGAGGGAAGAACTGTAGGGTGGTTTTTCAGTGCTGGGGAGGGGGTAACCAGGCAGAGAAGACCCCTAAACAGAGGCAGGCGCTTTCTCCAATGGAGGCGACCACTGCGGGGTCCCGAAATGAACGGACGAATCCAGAGCAAAGTTTGTGTGCGAGCGCTGCTGTGGGGTGTAGGAGAGATCCGGGCAGGGAGTTGGGGGTGTGGAGCATGGACACTGCCAGTCCCTCCCTAGCTCTGGAGGTGGTTCACACTGTAGGAGTGTGCGAGTCCCCAGGCCCAGCGCCCGAGGCGGTGGAGCAGCGCCTGGGCTCGGGTCGTCCCGCACATGCTCGCCTCCAGGCTGTGGGCGGGCAACGGGCAGCCCCGGCGGGGTCTCCACGGATCTGGATGCCTGTCGAGATGCTCGTGTTCCGGGGTAATTTAGGGGGAAATAGAGGCAGGAGCTGGACCCCCGTCTCTCCCCCAGAGCTCTGAAGCGTGCCCTGAGATCCGCACCTCTGTCCATGGAACTCTGCGGCCGCCCGGCCCCAGGGCCTGGTCTGGGGCTTCTTCCCCAGAGGCCTGGCGCTGAGTAGGACCGGGGCGCAAACGGGCGCAGAACTGGCAGCGAAGCGAGAGACCCTTCCACCTTTGCTCTGGCTGTGGAGAGAGGGGATCTGCACCATGGGATTCCTGTAAAAAAGTGGGGGACCTAAGACCGGTTAAGAAAACTGCTTACAATACAGTATTTGGTCCTTCCAAGTACTTTCTCAAGCTTGAAGCTTTATCCCGAGTCTCCTCGAGTTCACAGTCCGCTGAAAGAACCCCCTGACAACCGGCTTTCCCCCCTAAAGGAACTCGGGTCCGCGGGGCAAACCGAGACGAAATTACCCAAGGCCGAGACAACCACTCATTTTTCTGGATTTTCTCAGCTGATTTCTTATGCTTCTCGCCCTCACAACAATCTTTCCTAAAGTTTCTGTTGAGACCTTTAACGCCATAATACTGTTAGGTTAACAATTTGTATGCGGAAAAACCAAACTACAGAGAAGAGAAAACTTGTTAGACAATTTTTTTTTTCTTGGCGTTTTTCTTCAAAAAAGACTCGGGCATCTGAAGAAATGATGCTTGCTAGCTCTGGCCTTGCGCCTTGTGGATCTGGAATTTTTAATAGTTAAGACTTCTCATAAAGCGATAGCATAAAAGGAGTTCACTACCTCTTCCCATTATTATTTATTAGTACTGCTTTTTAGTTTATTTGAGCTTTGAGCTGATTTAAGTAACTGAGTCAAGTTTCCTTTCTCTTTTCTCTTAAATTTTTTTTTTCTCTTTCTTCCTTTCTTTCCAAAAGCCAGTTCGTTGTGGTAAAAAGCAGTAAACTGTTGGGAGCACCCTGGGCAACACCCCCTCCTGGCCCCTTTCCTCTCCTCTCCCCACCCCCTCCTCTTTTTCTGCAGTAGTAATGGTTTTAGGTTATGACTGGTTTTACACGGTTGAACAATAAGTTTGGGAGAAGTTGCCTAGAGGGTAGATTTTGTAATAGGGTTACAGGATTTAGTGTGTTGTAATAATATTAGTACACAAGTAATCCTCACCCGCGCCTGACACAGAAGAGGGCCTAACCTACCCTTGTTCTTTTTATTTGGGAATAGTTGTGAGATAAATGCAATTGAAAGTTCATGACAGAGCTCAAGGTTACTACTTTTTAAAAGTCACCTTTTCTGCCTTGAATTCAGCAATCTCGTCCTTCTCCCTGTACAGAACACACACTTAAGGGAGCTGTTAGTGTTTGGTTTGGTTTGGTTTGGTTTGGTTACAGATAGCAAGGTTGTTAAACTTTTAAAAGGCAAACCTCTATTCAAACATTGTGCTTATTTTTTCTTCTGACTGGAGATGTTCTTAAAATATAGCAAATGAAATAGCAAATTACCAAACGAAATGGAGTTTAAGTTCTTCTCATATGCTAGGACCTCAAATGCAGGACTTAGAAAAGTTTGTAGACCCCATTCCAGTAGCCTTGAAGGATGGCTGTCTGCTGTGTTGTGTGCGTGTGCATGCGTGTGTTTGAGTGTGAATACACTTACAAAGAAAGGCTAAGCCATGCTGAGCAGTGCACAGGGATAGCTTCATCTAGACAAGTTCAAAAAAATAAGATTATCTGGTGCATCTTAGAACGTCGATGTTTTCATTCTGCTTCAGGGCAGCCATGATGCCAAAAGCACTGCAAAATAAACTTGGTAATCTTTCATTTTCTTATGAAATTAAGGTTATGGCAAATATGACTTGTCTCATAAATGATATTCAAGTCTTGAACTACTTGGGCAAAGATAACTACCAATAGAAAGATTATTTACCAAGATAGATAATTCTGAGGAAGAATTGTACGTGACTTCTTTTCTAAGGATCTAGATTTCGGGTGTGTGTGTGAGTGTGTGTGTGTGTGTGTGTGTGTAGTGTTTTCCCCCCCTTTGGTGACCTTTTTAAGACTTCTATAACTATACGGAGGGTCTGCTCAGATTCCATTCGTTTATTGAATATTTTAGTTCTTGGGTTTTAAAGAAAAGGTACTACTGAAAAGTAAAATCATGAATTACAGATAAAATATTGACTCTTACATGAAGTATCATAAAAATCCCCCTTATTTGTATTAATAATGAAATTCTGGTTTTTACCAAAGTAATTTACTCATTTTGAGCAGCTTAATGACAGCACATTGATTTCTGGGCCCAAAAGGTTAGAGAGAACTAAAATTAATTGCTTTTTTTTGAAAAACCGACACCTGCAAGATAAGGCAGTTGGAAGGAATTCATGTTTAATCAGGCCTATTTTAAGTTTGGCATAATGGAAGATTCTGGATGAGAAAATGCAAACTGTTTTTGAGATTTGCTTCAGGCTGCAGATACTTCTTAAAATGTTAAAAATGACACAGAAACAACAAAGTCTAGGCTGGGCATGAGACAGAATGTGTGAAAGTGAATTTGTGATATTGAATGGTGGTTTGTTTTACATCAAGTTTCCACTATGGTTCATAAGCACAAGTACCAAATTATAGGTTATTCTGTGGGGGTTATGTTTCTTTTCTTTCTAGTTTGGAGTTGAGGAGTTATCCTTACCAACAGACTGCTTAAGAAGGCAAAAATCTACATTTTTATTGTGGAGAGTTTACTGGGATCTGGGGAAGAAAACAGGCAGACAGGTTACATGTTTTGAAATTGCTAAAGTCAAGCTCTGTGTAGTAACCAGAAAAAATTCTTTCTACAGCCTAAACTAAGTTTTTCTAAATCATATCCTGGTGCCGAGAAGCCCTATATTCCAGACTATTCTTAGATAATCAAAACTGAAGTCCTTTAGCAATTTAGTGAAAGAGATGGTAAATTACACCCATCCCCCAAGAAGAAAAAAGTGTGTATACCAGGCTTTAGGAAACCTAGATGTGTGGAGCTGTTTTAACCTTTGCTTGCTTCCTCCCATGCATAGGTGACAAGGTCCAGATCATAATATGTCCTTCAGTATCTTCCCAGTGACCCCCAAATTGAGTCTTGCTAGTCACTTAGCAGGAAGTTAGTAGTTTATTTTAGTTTCACCTTATCAGCTTGGCTTCTTTTCCTAACCTTATTCCCCTGTCACCCTCAGATGCCAGACCCCCAAAGGGGAAGATTGACAGGTAGTTCCCATAGCTCAGTTTTACCCTCAAACAACAGGGATTTAGTTTCTTGTGCCTTTGCCAATGTTTATGTAGTCAGAGTTTAGATCTCGCCTTAAGGAGTCTCTCTTTTACGCGTCACTGGAATAGGAAAGCCACAAAGAAGTTTTTGAACAAACCCTTGCAACTGGAACCCCATCTAGTGTTCAGTTTGATTCATCCATGGGGAAGACATTTTCCCCCTTTTATTTATTGTGTGCTTTAGGTGGGCTTGGATCACTACTTTAAAAGGAGTGTCTTGTCCATGTTGTTATTTTTTCAGAGATTTCTCTTGTATTCTACGGAGGAACAGGCTAATCATGGTGAGCACACTGAGTGAACTTGAAGGGGGCCAATTTGTCACTTGGTTGCATATTGCATAGAGGAAACTTTAGACATCACAGAAAATATGCACAGCGTATGTTGTAGTGTTTACAATTTCTTTGGAATCTTAAGTTGGACATTCAGACTCAGCCTTTCTCCAGTCTGTGGGGGGAGAAAAAGATAAAGGATCAATCAATCAAATATGTTTGTGATAGCCTTACCAAATAGGTCCACGAAAAGGAACAGCCTGTTAAAATTATGGGCCCCAAACCCACTATTGTGAGAGGCTCTATTTTAAAATGTTAATTCAATCTTTAGGTAATAGGAAATACAGTGAAGTGTCTTTCTGAGCAGTCCAAAAAAGAAAACTAAATCTGGTAGAGTTAGGTGGTTGTTTTCTGGTTTTTAGGGTTTTGTTTTTTTCTTTCTTGGCTGGCTAAGCCTTTTTGTATGGGGCATAATTTTATTTTTATTTTCTCAATAGACAGATATGTTGGAACACTTTAATTTTCTGCTTCCGATTCTGCAATCTTTGGTTCAGGTGACAAAAAATTGACAAAGTTGAATTCGGCATCAAGTACCTAAATAGTACAACAAGAACTAAAACATTTGGAATTTCAGTACAAATTTGGTGGTGGTATAAGATCACCTACTTTCCGAAAAGGAAAGAAAACCCCAGAAAATCCCAAATATCTTTTCTGTGTGTACATACTTAGAAAACCACTACCTCTTAAATGTTCCTATCTGACCAGAATTACAAAATTAATTTGTATGTAAAATCTATAGAAAAGAAACTGCAGTATATTATCACCACAATAAAAGGAACAAGGCACCTGTATTTACTATAATGAGGTCACCAGTTGCAATCCTGTGTAACAGATTATTGAAAGAGATACAAGGTAGAGGGTTGGATCAGAAAAATAAATTAGAATATTAGAACATGTTCCTGTGTGCATGTGTTTGTATCTTATTACAACTTAAAATATTCCTTCTGGTAGTTAAAGATTCACACTAGTTCTCATGTTTTGTCTTCTTTCTTTTCAAGCTGTTTTATTGGCATTCTGTTCAGAATGCAGGTAGATTTAGTTAGGAATTATTACAGTATAGCGACACCTGCTTTTGAAGTAAATCAAAATAGATACTCAGATTTTTAGGGGGCTGGGGTGTTCATAAACATCAGAAAAGAAGTTAACTATACAGTGAGATCAAATGTCAGCTTATTAAAATGTTGCAGAAAATCTAAGCTAAAATATAGGCAACTTTTTAAACATAGTCTCTTTTAAGCAAGCAGGCGTTTATTTTTAAACACCTATGTTTTTCATCTAGTTAGTAGAATCCTAGATATAAAAATGTTCAGGTTGAAAAACCCAAAATTCTCAAGTGAGCCTTGAAACAGTACAAATACAGAATTTGAGCACAGGAAAGCAATAACCAGCTAAATCCTATAAAGTAACTTATCTTTTATTTTCTCTATACATTATGAGAATATCAGATGTTTGCAAGTTATAAAGAATTAAAATGCCCTTTAATCGTGAGCACAGATGTGCTAAATATTTGAAGCAACTACATTGTAATGTGTACAATTGATGAAGTCAGTTTTCTGATTCCCCACGCTAGTTATTTAGTTCTGAATCTGTCATTATTTGTCTAAGCCCAGCTGACCAAGCAAAACTGTGTTTTAAAGTGGCTTTATGTTTTGATAAATGTGAGCTGGTTGAAAAGTATTTTCCACTGAATGCAGAGCTTAATAGAACATGCTGACATAATAGTTTTAATGCATTTTGTTGAAAATGTGTGAACAAACAGAATAGCTTTTGTTCCTTCATAATTGGCTGTAAAAGTAGATGGAAACATAACCATTACATATGGAAATGTGCAAAGAGAAAGAAATAACATTTCTGTTGAATATATTAGGAATTGCATTTCCTAGTTTAAAATAAGCATCTGAAATGGATGCATCATTTAAAATTGGTTGTCAAAATAAGAAGCTTTAAACAGAATTTTTGTCACATTATTTTTGTCCCAAGTTAAGCAACATAACTTTAGCGAATTTCATTTAATATTTTGTTTATATTATTTTAAGGCAGGAGAAGAGATGGAAAGTGCTTAAAACAGCACCTTAAATGTGCGTAGGAATCTGGTGCCAATTAGGATGATTAAACATTAAATTAAAACTGGATCATTATTGGTATTTTCTACTACAACTACAATTTGTTTTGTGTTGTTAATGCATTTTGCACTATAACCTTGTGGAGATTAAAAGATGAGTATTGGGAAAGCTAGCTTATTAAGTATAACTTAGCTGCTAAAATAACACTTCCGTTGAATAGTGTTTATATATTTGGCATACTTTACCAGGGGATCTAATCAACTACAGCATCACTCTAAGCAGATAGAGTTAAGGAATTTTCAGAAGTTAATATTTCAGTGTTAATTATATTTTCTGAAATGCAAAGCTACTCAAACTTTCTAGATCCTCAGTCCAAAAGGGCAAACGTCTGTCTCTTTTGAGTGGACTCAAGTTTTCTGAAAGAAAAAAAAAAAAAAGCAAGATTTTGATTTTTCATGCATTCATATCTGCAATTACTTTTTTTGCCTGCAAGTTTTCTGGGAGATTCTATTTGGAAGTCATGGAAACTACCATTATCTGGTTCAATTCTGCAGAAAAGCATACAGGGAGGTAATCCTTGAATTAAACAGTTTTTTTTTCACAGCCTTCGAAGATGACCACACACCATTTGTACAGCAGAAGTTGGTGTCCCATGCTGGGCAAACAATGGGACGCCATCCTGTCTTTGAATAGGATGTTAGCCTGGAGTTGGAGATTTTTATGTTTAATTTACAAATGGATCTTAGTGAGAAGACATCTGAGCAACCAGTGGAAACAAACATGAAATAAAGGGACTTTTATAAGAAAAGGTTCGGGACAATCTGTTAAACAATTGATAACAGTTAAGAGCAAACTGTTTTTAAAGGCATTCAGAAAAGGAGAATTGCAGAGCATTCTCCACCAAACATGATTTCTTAGAGGAAGAGGAGTACGTCCTTTAACTGTACATCCTTAAGTTGATTTTTAATCAGAAATGTAAGTCTTATGCTGGTTTTCTAGATAGAGCACTTTTGATAAAATATTTAGGGGCATGTTGTTGCCATTTGGAGTATAGTGGCATATATCCCTTGATTAGTATAAGGGCAGCTAAGGTTGCATTCTTGAATTTTAAAAATAAACATGCCATGGGGTGATATATAGGCGCCAGGGAGCCCTTGTAATGGATTATGATCATTGTGTTTCTCTGCATTATGTGTGTTGCTTTCCCTTTTGTATTCAAGTAAATCTTGAGCGCTCTGGAGGATTTGTTACTGATGTGACTAAAGTGTGTTTGTCACGGATCAGACTTAGCTCAGGTTCAGGGTGGGGGCTTGAGGTGATTTTCAAGTTGTCAGTCCACAGCTGGGTGATATGCATTTTTTCCCCCTTGTCAACAACTGATTGGAACCTGAATGACTACAAATTAGTTTACTGACAGAACAAACTGTCACAGATATCTTTGAATCGGTTGAAAATGAATAAGGTTGACAGAAACTCAAGAGCCTAATAAGTCCTCAGAATGGTTACCGGACCCTTTCTGAAAGAGGAGACAATCAGGTGTATAAAATATTGGAAATCAATACTTTCTATGGAATTTCATTATATACCAATGTCTCCATTCATAGTATTTCATGTTTTGAAGAATTATCTGAGGGACATGACTATCTGAGATGCCAGATGGATAGAAATTCCTCCACACCCTTAAAAATTAATTATGAGCCTTCCTAGGTAATACTGATTGGGTTTGCAGGGGCTACAGTTTTGAGTTTTGCAGTGAGGAAACAATTAACTTTTTTTTTTAAATCATAGATGACATGTATTCTGGCTTCCTTTCTAACCCTGAGCCTTTTGATATTTGTAGGAGACACAGAGAAGGGTCAACCGAGTCGCCCCACGAAGAGCAAGGATGCCCACGTCTGTGGCCGGTGCTGTGCTGAGTTCTTTGAGTTATCAGATCTTCTGCTCCACAAGAAGAACTGCACTAAAAACCAATTAGTTTTGATCATCAATGAGAATCCAGCCTCCCCACCCGAAACCTTCTCACCCAGTCCCCCTCCCAATAATCCTGATGAACAAATGAAAGACACGGTGAACAAAACAGATCAAGTAGACTGCAGCGACCTTTCAGAACACAAGGGACTTGACAGGGAAGAGTCCATGGAGGTGGAGGTCTCAGCTGCTCCCAACAGTGGCAGTGGGACGTCTAGCAGCAGCACCAGTAGCACCGCCCCAAGCTGTGAGGGCAGCTCCTCCACAGGTACCTCAGCGATCACAACCTCTCTACCTCAACTCGGGGACCTGACGACGCTGGGCAACTTCTCCGTGATCAATAGCAACGTCATCATTGAGAACCTCCAGAGCACCAAGGTGGCAGTGGCCCAGTTCTCCCAGGAAGCAAGGTGCAGTGGGGCCTCCGGAGGCAAACTGGCCGTTCCAGCCCTCATGGAGCAGCTCTTAGCGCTGCAGCAGCAGCAAATCCACCAACTGCAACTGATCGAACAGATTCGGCACCAAATATTGCTGTTGGCTTCTCAGAACGCAGACTTGCCAACATCTTCTAGTCCTTCTCAAGGTAGTTTACGAACATCTGCCAATCCCTTGTCCACGCTAAGTTCCCATTTATCTCAGCAGCTGGCGGCAGCAGCTGGATTAGCACAGAGCCTCGCTAGCCAATCTGCCAGCATTAGTGGTGTGAAACAGCTACCCCCAATCCAGCTACCTCAGAGCAGTTCTGGCAACACCGTCATTCCATCCAGCAGTGGCACTTCTCCCAATATGAACATATTGGCGGCACCAGTTACCACCCCGTCCTCAGAAAAAGTGGCTTCAAGTGCTGGCTCAAACCATGTCAGCAATCCATCAGTCTCAGCATCATCCTCACCAGCTTTTGCAATAAGCAGTTTATTAAGTCCTGCATCTAATCCACTTCTACCTCAGCCAACTCCTGCTAATGCGGTTTTCCCCAGCCCTTTGCCCAACATCGGAACAACTGCAGAGGATTTAAACTCCTTGTCTGCCTTGGCCCAGCAAAGAAAAAGCAAGCCACCAAATGTCACTGCCTTCGAAGCGAAAAGTACTTCAGATGAGGCATTCTTCAAACACAAGTGTAGGTTCTGCGCAAAGGTCTTCGGGAGCGACAGTGCCTTGCAGATCCACTTGCGTTCCCATACTGGAGAGAGGCCATTCAAGTGCAACATCTGTGGGAACAGGTTCTCCACGAAGGGGAACCTGAAAGTCCACTTTCAGCGCCACAAAGAGAAGTATCCTCACATCCAGATGAACCCCTATCCTGTGCCCGAGCACTTGGACAACATCCCTACTAGTACCGGCATCCCATATGGCATGTCCATCCCTCCAGAGAAGCCAGTCACCAGCTGGCTAGACACCAAGCCAGTCCTGCCTACTCTGACCACTTCCGTCGGCCTGCCGTTACCCCCAACCCTCCCAAGCCTCACACCCTTCATCAAGACTGAAGAGCCAGCCCCCATCCCCATCAGCCATTCTGCCGCCAGCCCCCCCAGCTCAGTCAAAAGTGACTCTGGGGCTCCCGATCTGGCCACAAGAAACCTAGGTGGGCTCCCAGAGGAAGCAGAAGGGTCCACTCTGCCACCCTCTGGTGGCAAAAGTGAAGAGAGTAGTGTGGCCACCAACTCAGTCCCAACAGCAAGTAGCAGCACCCTGAGCTCGCCAGTGCCCGACTGTGGCCTGGGAGGTGCCACCACCTTCACCAACCCATTGTTGCCGCTCATGTCTGAACAGTTCAAGGCCAAGTTTCCTTTTGGGGGACTCTTGGACTCAGCCCAGGCATCAGAGACATCCAAACTGCAACAACTGGTAGAAAACATTGACAAAAAGGCCACTGACCCCAATGAGTGTGTCATCTGCCACCGGGTCCTGAGCTGTCAGAGCGCCTTGAAAATGCACTACCGGACACACACTGGGGAGAGGCCCTTTAAGTGCAAGATCTGTGGCCGGGCTTTCACCACAAAGGGGAATCTTAAAACCCACTACAGTGTCCACCGGGCCATGCCCCCACTCAGAGTCCAGCATTCTTGTCCCATCTGCCAGAAGAAGTTCACAAATGCTGTTGTCCTCCAGCAACACATCCGGATGCATATGGGAGGCCAGATCCCCAACACCCCCGTCCCCGACAGCTACCCCGAGTCCATGGAATCTGACACAGGCTCCTTCGATGAGAAAAATTTTGATGATCTGGACAACTTCTCCGACGAAAACATGGAAGACTGTCCTGAAGGCAGCATCCCAGATACGCCCAAGTCAGCGGATGCATCCCAAGACAGCTTGTCTTCCTCACCTCTGCCCCTTGAGATGTCGAGCATTGCTGCTTTGGAAAATCAGATGAAGATGATCAATGCTGGCCTGGCAGAGCAGCTTCAGGCCAGCCTGAAGTCCGTGGAGAACGGGTCAGTCGAGGGGGATGTGCTGACCAATGATTCATCCTCAGTGGGTGGTGACATGGAAAGCCAAAGTGCCGGCAGCCCGGCCATCTCGGAGTCTACCTCTTCCATGCAGGCTCTGTCCCCATCCAACAGCACGCAGGATTTCCACAAGTCACCCAGCGTGGAGGAGAAGCCACCGAGAGCAGGACCAAGTGAGTTTGCCAATGGTTTGTCTCCCACCCCAGTGAATGGGGGGGCTTTGGATTTGACATCTGGTCATGCAGAGAAAATCATCAAAGAAGATTCTTTGGGAATCCTCTTCCCTTTCAGAGACCGGGGTAAATTTAAAAATACTGCTTGCGACATTTGTGGTAAAACGTTTGCTTGTCAGAGTGCCTTGGACATTCACTATAGAAGTCATACCAAAGAGAGACCATTCATTTGCACAGTTTGCAATCGTGGCTTTTCCACAAAGGGTAATTTGAAACAGCACATGTTGACACATCAGATGCGAGATCTACCATCACAGCTCTTTGAGCCCAGTTCCAACCTTGGCCCCAATCAGAACTCGGCGGTGATTCCTGCCAACTCCTTGTCGTCTCTCATCAAAACAGAGGTCAACGGCTTTGTGCATGTTTCTCCTCAGGACAGTAAGGACACCCCCACCAGTCACATCCCTCCTGGGCCTCTGTCATCCTCTGCCACGTCCCCAGTTCTGCTCCCAGCTCTGCCCCGGAGAACTCCCAAACAGCACTATTGCAACACGTGTGGCAAAACCTTCTCCTCGTCGAGTGCCCTTCAGATCCATGAGAGAACTCACACTGGAGAGAAGCCCTTTGCTTGCACTATTTGTGGAAGAGCATTCACAACAAAAGGCAATCTGAAGGTACCCACTCCATCTGCACCTTACCCGCCCCATTCACCCTTTCGGTTGCCAGTGATTATCTGAAGTGCATGCTTCTGGAGTCATCAGCTCACATACTCGGGGACAGGGGTCTCCTAAAGGAACCACTGCACGTGGCCAACCTGGGAGGAATGGGGGTGTCTGTGAGGGTCAGGATAGTGGCAGGCAGGGGAGGGCGGCCTGCAGCTGGCTGCATGTCATAGTGCCTTGAATGATTTGGTACCTAAGCGAAGCAGTGGTCTCTCTCTGTTGTCTCGCTAAGTGCACCAAATGAATTGCTTTACCAACCAAATAAGACAGCCTGGCATTGCCATGGGGTATTGATTAAAGACCTCCATGTGGCCTGTGTGCTGCCCATATCACTTAATAATTGAGATTCTCCTCGGCATACACAGCAATTTTTCATAACTATGCAGACCAGCATGGTTTGTTTTTCTAGAAACAATAACGTCACTGCTCTGCTAATGGGTATTAGGATAATTGATTATACAACATTTCCTACTGATATGTGTTGGAAATAAAGCAAATAGGCTTACGTTCTAGAGTAACAGTTGAGCTCTCTTACTGTATACATTTTTCTGTTGACAGAGTATTTCTCTGGAGATTGCTGCCAGTAATGCGAGATGAATAATTACTTTCTGGCTTTTCTCTCCATACACAGGCCCTCCAATGGGCAATCAGAGAGGGGTACTTTCTTCCCATCTGCAAAGGACATTTATAGGGTAAAGGGTGTCAGATACAATACTTACCATTGCAATGAGAGTGGACATAACAATTCTAACCCTGAAAGGAGCTATCTGCGACTGACTAGCTTGCTTGAGGCCATTATAAGCTAAATACGGGTAATAAAAAAAAGAGTAAGTAAGGCATCTTTGCTCAGGAAGAGGAGAGATGGCCCAGGGCTGCAGACAAGGAACACGTTATTACTAGTCCACAGCAGTGGATGGTTCCCCTTACCTTTTTCCCTGTCTGTCATGTAATAAGAATAGACATTTAGGCCACTTGCTTTGTGGGGTGTTAAGATATGAGTTGAGACAAATTCATCTATTAAGCTTCTGTCTTGTTTTTTCCCCCTCTTTTTCTTTTTTCCCCTCCCCTCACCCCCATCATGGTCTCAGGTACACATGGGCACGCACATGTGGAATAGCACCCCTGCACGCCGGGGCCGCCGGCTCTCCGTGGATGGCCCCATGACATTTCTAGGAGGCAATCCTGTCAAGTTCCCAGAAATGTTCCAGAAGGATTTGGCGGCGAGGTCAGGAAGCGGAGATCCTTCCAGTTTCTGGAATCAGTATGCAGCAGCGCTCTCCAACGGGCTGGCAATGAAGGCCAACGAGATCTCTGTCATTCAGAATGGTGGCATCCCTCCAATTCCTGGAAGCCTAGGCAGCGGGAGCAGCTCACCTATTAGTGGTCTGACTGGAAATCTGGAGAAGCTCCAGAACTCAGAGCCCAGTGCTCCTCTGGCCGGCCTAGAGAAAATGGCAAGCAGTGAGAATGGAACCAACTTCCGCTTCTCTCGCTTTGTGGAAGACAGCAAAGAGATTGTGACAAGTTAGACCAGCCACACACTCGAGACATAGCATTCCTGTTCAGAATGCACCTAAGGTTGCCTCCTGCTCCTGCCCTGTCCCCCCCTACCTTCTGGTCTCCCGGGTCTATGAACTCCAACATTATGAAGACATTCTTTTGTACTTTGTTCAACTTCTAGAGTTCTAAGAAAGCTTATTTATTAGTGATATAACCTTGCTTTGCAAACAATGCAAGCGTTAACTTTGGTCTTCTGTATTTTGGACTAAATACTAATTGACTAGAGTGCTGTAAACTTGCTGTAACATTTATGGCAATTGCAAGTTGCCCTGCTAGGCGGTCTTAATCTGGCATTAACTTATTTTCTATATCCAGTTTAATATGAACCTGGTGTTGATGCAATGCCTCCGTGATGCATTAGATCTCTAATAAAGTCTGTATATAAATGTACACTTTGATCCTGCTGGAAAATTTTATCAGCAAACACATTGTTTAATATTTCAAAAACAGATTTAAGGAAAGGACTGAAAGTACAGACTGAACAGCGTGATTCTTTGAAAGGTTTGGGTTTTGGTTTTTGTTTTTCATTTTTATTCTAAAATTCAACCTGCTTTTTTGTTTTGTAGATTTAACCATTTCCGTTTTGAACTATTTGTATTGTGCTTTTTACTTGAGTCATCCTCAATGTTAATAAGTTTCTGTACAGTAATAAGCACGCAGAATTCTTTAGAGAAAAAAAAACAAGTGTTGTTTTTGGTAGTTGAAACTGAGATGTAACATTTTGCCTTGTAGGTATATTCACAATAGAAAATGTGTGCTGGAATTTCACAATGCTGCTAAGTATAGCATCTTGAACAACCTTCAGTGGAGAAAATGTAGATGCTCTTGTATATATAATAAGAAATATCACTTTCATTAAAATGTACATACATTCCTTACAAGAGCGGATGCTTCTTGATCAAGAGAGCAGGTATAGTGTTTGTTTATTTTGTATTAGGTATGGAAGAAAAAAAAATTGGACTGTTACATGCACTTTCTTGGAAAGTTGAAAGGAAGGGGGGGTCCAATTTCTTTAACATTTAATACTTACTAACAACAGAGATACTGTAATTTTACTCAAGTAATCAAATACATTTTTTTTGCAACAGATAAAACAACATACTGTGTCTGTGTTTTTAGAGTGCATTTCGATTTAGTCAGGCCCCTAAATGCATTTTAACATTTCCCCAGGCACCAGTAAATTGGGTATGTGAGCAAGTATCTCTCTCTAAATAAGAAATTGTAAAAGGTGTAGCAGAAACGAGTTTGCATTGGCCTGTGTTTCCTTTCATTTCAAAATTTAGAAGCCCTAGATATTTTCCCAGTATCCATTATTTGTTTGGGAATGTTACTTCACTCTTTTCACAACCGCCCCTCCCCCAGAGAAAAAAAGAAAATAAAAAGTTGTCATTGGAGATCTCATCCTGACAGGTAAGTTTCCTTAAGCAGGATATTTGGATTTAGATTTCAGCTTTAACTATTCTGGTTTCATTTCACTTGATTCAGTGGCTTTTTTTTTTTTTTTTTTTTTCTGGAAACTTGGATCCTTGAGCTTGCACAGCAGGTGGCGAAACCACAGAGCTAAATCCATTACTAATGGCTCAGCATGTTTAAGGATGGATATTAAATGTTTTTTGTCTCTTTTTTTTTTTTTTTTTTTTTTCTGGCGGCTGAGAGCCTCATTGCTGGAGAATTCCCGGTGCAGCAGGGTTATATAATCTGACTCAGAAACTGGGCCTCAACCCAGCGAGGTCAACATGTTCTTTATTTAATTAGTCTTTTAGGCATTTAAAAGCACACGCATATTTAAAAGAAAAGGTCTATTATAAAGGAGATGTAAAGTCAACTGGAATACTTAATCATCAAAATTCAATTTTATTCTTCTTCCTCTCTCCCTTTGTTTTAGGGGGAAATAGGTTTTGTGCACGATTTGGGGGTGAGCAATAGGACGGGGTAGAAATGACCACAAGGATTTGTTGACTTGTTTTCAAGGAGATGGGGAACTGCAGTCTTAGCGGGTGGCTGCGCCCAGGTAAGGGTGAAATACAGAAAGCGTTGGGCCACCTACCAGCAAAAGTTTCCACAGGGCGCGGGCCACTCCTTAGCTAGCCGGGGCCGCGCCTCCAGGACCTTAGTCCCGAAAATGAACGCCGCAGGGTCGACTGGTCGGGGCGCACGAAGCATCAGCTCGGCCTTGTGGCCGGACCGGGTGTCTCGGAAGGCGGGCTGATCCCAGGCCAGTCCGCGGGATTAGGAGTGGTCACCCTAAACCAGGAGAGGGCAGGGTGGGAGTGTGCGCGGCGTCGCGATGCAGACTCATCCGGAGGTCTCAGCACCCGAAAATGTGGAGGGTGAGATTTCTCGAATTCGCCTCTCCGGTCCCTTTCCCGCTACTCCAAGAATGACCCTTTTTTCCCAAGTGTGGACAAGGAGAGAAGGCCGGAATTCCGGCCAGAAGCTCTGTTTCTACCCGAGCCAAATAGGGTGGTTTTCCTTGCGCGGGAGGCGTCCGTCACCTTCCCAGGGCTGGGAGTGGCGACGAGGGGGGCGCGGGGGGTGCCCGGGGCTGCGCTCCGAGGGCCCTGGCTCTGCTCCTGCGCCCCGGGACAAGCCTGGGGACGTCCGGGCGACCGCGGGGCAGGGCCACCAAGAGGGGAGGGCTGCGGCAGCCCCCTGCACACCCGCCCGTCCCGAGGGCGCCAGAGCTGGCCCGGGTGGCCCGGGGCCGGGTCCCCGCCCCTGCCCCCGGGCTCCCGTGCGCACGCCTCAGGGCCTGGGGTCGGGCTGGGCGCTCGGGGGCTGTGAGTCCGTTTCCGGCGCGGCGGGAGGTGGGGTCCGAGGAGCCGGACACTTTTTTCTTTTCCCTCTCACCAACCTCCTGCCTTCTAGCGTTTTCTGAAAGTGTAGCAAAGCGAGCAAAAGTAGCTTTTGGATTAGACAGATTTTCGAAGGCTCCCGAGGCCCTTTAGGGAAAGGTCGTGGTCTCGATCTCTGTGCTCTCCCTTTGTCCCTCTTACCCACGTATAGATTGACTATCTTTCTAATCTATTGATCATTACCTGCCCACTCCCCTGTCTACCCTTTCCAAAACGAGAAAGTGCCCTCAGCCCTGCTTCTCCCCCGGTGATAAATACACTTCGCCCCGCGGCTCAGCAGAGGAGAGATGGATTTGCGCGTCTGAAGCCACAGGCTCGGCTTTAAAACCGCGAAGGGAGCTCACCTCCCCCGCCCCGCCTCCCCCTCCTTGGCCACCTCGCCGCGCTCCTTCGCCTTTCTCGCCTCCGGAAACGAGGTGCATCGTGGTCGTTTGGGAATTGTACAGAGAACCGAATTCGCTGAACGAAGACTCATTTCAGAGTAGAAGGACAACTAACTTCACAAATTTTTTGAGCTAAAAATATTCGCTTTGGTGACATTTTCTGCAGTTTTTTTTTTTTTACTGTGAATTGTAAAAACGCAGAAAAGTGCAGTGGTTTCTATCAGTCCAGAGTTACAAATCTGAGCAATTTCTCTGGTTTTATTTCCTTTCTTTTCTTCTTCTTTTTTTAATTTTCTTTCTTTCTTTCTTTCTTTTTTGTTCTGTTTGCTGCTTTGTTCTTCCTCTCTGCCTGTGCCACCGTAGTTATTTTCTTCTCTTTCTGTGACTTTACTTCTCTCTATTCCTTTATCCCCCCTCCGCATCTCAACTGCTCGGCCCAACCCCCAACATGGGTTTCCCTTTCTGGAAAAATTAATTCCTATGGAGCAATTTGGTGATTGGCAGGAACCTAGGAAGAAAAAAAAAAGTGAACCAATGAGAGCCCCAAGCCGCCTCAAGACCTGGGTGGGAGGCCTGTAGGTAAGGGGTGGGGGGCATTGCTGCAGATCCACTGGAGATAACTAACTGAAGCCACCTGGGCTTGGAGCTTTTACATCCACTCTCCACAGACTAGGTTCATTCTTATGACTTTCAGGGGGAAGGGGACTGGGGCGAAGGCAAAATTTTTAAATTCTTAAGAAAAAAAGGCATCCAAACAGAAAATCCTAAATGATTTGCAGTTGAGATAAATTTCTAGCAGTAGAGTATTTGCTTATTGGTTTTGGCATGTTGTGCCTGTCAAGAATGTAAGAACTTTAAAAAGAAAAAAGGGGGGAAGAAGGCTCTCACTCTGTTAAAACTTAGCAGTCCTGTTAGAAAAATAAAGCCATGGGTTCTTTGGTGGGAGTTACACACTCAACCCCAAATGAAACAAATGTGGGAAAGGCTAACAAAGTGGGAAAAAACGTAAAATGAATTTCAAAGGGCTCCACAGCAGAGCACAATCTGAGATCCACAGAAAAGTGGAGAGGGATAAGACAGGAATTAGGTCATCTCATCCAGACCCCAGGAAATAGGTTTAGATCAAAGCTACTCTGTTAGAATAAACAAAACAGGACCCACTGAGCCCTAGCAATATTTTCATCTCAGTGCTAAGAGCTGCTAATCTAACCAGCTCTATTTGATGAAAGGGGGTAAAAAATTACAACTGTAAAAATGACTGAGTAAAAAAAAGTCCTCTCAACTGTAATAGGATGATAAAGATTTAGACTTTAGCTAAAAAGTAACAAGATCCAGGCCCAAATCAACACAAACTTCCTGGAATTTTAGCACTAAGTAAATTATCTAATCCTAACCCATTGTCCCCTCCCTGCCACCCCCCCACCCATGCAACTGAGTATGCCAGATGATTTACATAAAAAAAATTGTTAAATTTTAACTGCAGTCTGAGAACATTGCAGGACATTGGCTTTTGGGTTCACGTATTCTACATTCCTTAAGGACCTGTCTGCTTTCTGTTCTCTCACTAGCCACCCCCCATAACCTGTCCCCCCCCCCAGGCAATTATTGGGGTAGCTGCTGGCCTTACTGTGTGGATGCTCCTTTAAGCCTATACTTAAAGTACAGCCTCTCTCTCTCCACTGTTGGGGGAGACTGACAGAGGCCAAGAGATTATGTCATGTAAACCTGGCTCTGGATCCACATGCTTCGTCGGCAGAGGCTGATATTTTAGCAGCTAAGCCCAAGTCCTGTGTAAGGCTTTCTTTCACCACAGAGTTGATGGCCTTAAACCAACTACCACGGAATATTCGATAGAAACACCCAGAAAAGGGACAGGAAATCCCAGAGAAGAGAAATTCACCCAGCTAAATCCAGTGTTGCAGTTCCTTGCTGAGTCTGGTTTCCTCTTAACTGTTTAAACATGCGATTTGGCTTCCCCTGTGTTTCTGTGTCCATCTGATCTCAAGTTGAACAGACTCATGAACTGCATGTCAGCTTGGCTCTGACCCTCTGGGAAGCCAGGACGACAAGGTAGGGAATGTGAGGGGCCTTTATAAACACCACCAGGAACAGGCCATCTTCTGTGTGGGGCCCTCGGCCGCTTACCTTGCAGAAGACAAGGTTTCATGAATGACTTTTTATGTTTCATGAATGACTTTGAAGACATACAAGTCCCAAAGTTGGAGGCTGCACAGGCATCCATCTTCCTTTGTTAGACCCAGGGCAGGACCTCATCCAGCCTGTCTCTGATCACAGCTAAATCCCAACATAGTCCATTGCAACCCAGACACCAAGATTGAGGGAGTCGTATGTTTTAATCATAGCTACATTTAGTTTGAGGCTCAGACAGTCACCTGTCAACCTGGCTGAACTTGGAAGCATGGCAGCTCCCACTCCTGGTGCGAGGGGTAGGAAGTGGTATACCTTCCTAGTGAACCTGCAGGTTGCCTCTGTATTCTGAATTCAGAGCCGTTCTACATGTCTCATGCTACTTGTGTTTCATAACAATCCATTTGACAGATGCCAAAACTGAGGTCCAGAGAACAGAGGAGTAAATCTAGAACAGAGAGGAAATCTAGAGCTGTCACTAGCTTGATAGCTAGCTTTGGACACTTGGGGGACACTGTCTGATTGGTGATGCAGTTTCCCCATCTGTGCTGAAGAAGTACGACCTCTATCAATGATTCCCAGCAGCGTCTTTTAGATTCTGGCCACTTTCACAGTCTTCCTGTTGTTGGGGTACCTCCTACACACTATTACTTATTTAATAATTTAATTTAAATGGACTCTGTTTCTAAAGCTTAAGTGTATTTATTCTAAAAAGAACGGGAAAGACTAGATTCAATTCTCTCTGACAGTCTTCTAATCCTGTGCAGGAGAAATCCTTACAGTGTGTCTCGTGGGTGACATGACCCAAATCAAAACAGCAGGAACACATCCTGCTGTTGTACTCAGCTGCATCCTTTCTTAGTTCTCTTCTGACTAGCTGCCTCTTGGATTACCCATGTGTGAGGTCTGTGGGTCTTAAAGAGTTTTATTGAAGCCTTTTCCCTACCTCCTTACCTGTCAACACACACCTTTGAACTGGCCTGGAGTTTTCCAGACTGGATTGTGACTCATTAATGCATTATGAGGTCAGCATAGATAATGGTTAGTATTATGCTTTAGCATAATAGAATAGACAAAAAGCAGAGTGTATCACAAGTAGTAAAAGTCAATAGTGTCTTGTGAAGCTTTTGTTTCAATCATGTACATATGTACACATGGTCACGATGATAATAAGTGTGCTTCTTACCCTGAGTTGCCATTGACAAAGGGCCTGAAAACATATGATTTCCCTCTGTTTCCCAACAGAAGCACAGAATCAGGGGCTTTAGTGAGAGGGCTAGCAGCCAGAATTGGGGATGGATAGAGCAATGATGAAGGCACAGGTAGACGGCACAGGTCCCCAGTTCTCTTCACAGTCATGTATCCTTTCTGCAATTTTCTAGTGGCAGCTTCTGCAGAGAAAGAGAAACCAGCAGCCAGGCTCCTGGTGCCAGCTTGTGAGTGTTCTCCTTTCCTGGGCTACTTCCACATGGAGGATTTTAATAGCATTTTGTCATCAAGGGGATTTCTCCTTAAACACACACACACAAATGCAAAAGAGGAAACAAAAACTGTGACTGGAAAAGCTTAATTACTGCATCAAGCTGCACTGTGTCTTTAAGATTCCTTCCCCATTGGTATTTGGGCCCAGTTCTTGGGTAACTATGATAACATCCCTCCCAAATCATGCCATTTCTAAGCATCTTTACTCACTCTATTCACTGTGACATTTAGTGTAGCCTAATATAAAGTCCTAAGAAATCATTCCTGGAGGAGTCTCATTCAGGGGCTAGGGGTGTAGCTCAGTGATACAGAGCTTGCCTAGCATCCATAAGGCCTTGAGTTCAATCCCCAGTACTGCCAAAGAAAGAAACACAGCTCAGAAAGGAGGTTGTCTGAAGACTGACAATATTCTAAAACACACACACACACACACACACACACACTTACCTAGATCTCCCAAATGTGCTCAGCAATGAACTTATTTAGATACAAGTAGGTTTTTCTGGGAACTAGGGCCTGACTTACTGAGATTTTTGCCTTTTTCGTCTGGATATAGAAGTGACATGCCCACGTTTATGAATTTCCCAACCTGATCCTCAGTCCAATACTTCTTATTTCAATTATAATCAAAAGAGTTACCATGGCAGTTCTCTTTCATCCATGCACTTTGCCAGGTAACTTGCAGGGCCTTCCCATTATGGACAGGTGGGCTTCCCTGCCTTTTGGGTTGGACTAAGTGACTTGCTTCAGCCAGAAGAATAAGGTAGATGCCATGTGCACCAGTTCCAAGGCTGGGCCTCAAGATGCCTGCATGTTTCTACCTGTGCCCTTGCGCCTCTGCTGCCACCATGAGAAGCACCTGCCAGCTGGCTTCAGGAAAAGAATGATACCCCCTGGAGAAGAGCCATCCACAGCCAAGTCCAACCTGGGTCAGTCCAACCCCCACCAGCCCAGGCACCTGCATGAGATCAGCCTTACAGAGCCTGCCTACAGCTCTGTGGTAATCACGGATGGTTGTTTTAAGCCATCAAGCTTCCATGTGGCTTCTTAATATCCCCGAGGCTCAGTAACCTCATTTTGACAAGATGTATTTAACAACTTCTAAAATGTCAAACGTTGTTTCAGATGCTTTACTTGAAGTAATTCATTTAATCCCTGTAACAACCACATGAGGTAGGTATTATCATTAAATCCATTTGATGGGTAAGTAAACTAAGGCACAGAGAGGTTAAGTTAAATGTCTAAGGTCACAAACCTGGTAAGCAACAAGAATTTGAAGCCAGACTACCTGGATCCAGAGTATCCATACTAAGTTCTTAATGACTATGCTACCCTTTTGCTCTGTCACAAAACCTCCTAAGAAATCCACTATAGATCTAACTAACTAAACCCCAGGACCAGAATGATGAAGTCAGCGGGTCTCTTCTCTGTATCTTCCCCATTCTAATCTTCCCTCTCTCTTCTCTGTTCCTAGGTCTTCAGAGAGAAAAGAAGCCTTAGGGGTACAGGCAAGTGATCTGTTGTCTATACGCCCATCTGTCAGGAGAAACTTCCCACTCTGAGTCCTTCATGACCCAGTGTGGAGTAGATGGAAATAGTAAGGATCCATGCTAATAGTGGGCTCCTGCACTGACTCCAGGATCTTCTTTCAGTGGGCAAGGGATGCCTTCTGCATGTACGAGTCATTGTCTACCCTACAAAGACTTTGTTTCTGCTTCGTGATCAAATTTTTGTCTCTTTTCCATAGTGGAAATGATCTATCCACTTAGAAGTAAGGGTTAATCCCTCTCTCTCTTTCTTCTCTTATGAGAAAATAAATCAACTGTTTTCCCTTTTCCTTTTTTGCAGACTGCAAGTTATGAAGTCTCCACCAAGGGGGGAAAAGTAGCATCTGAACTGTCGCTGTGAAGAAATTGTTTGCAGGTGTGAGCAGCTGATATATTTTTTGTCTCCTTGTAAAGAAAATCAACACAATTCACATTTTCTTCCTTGCACAAAGCTAGATTTGAAAATTCCTGGAAAATCAAGGAAATGTTTAGAGAAGACATGGAAATTTAGGGCATCTGAGAGGGGTTCAGCTTTTCCTGGTATGAATGTGCTATGGGAGAAGTAAAAAGGGATGAGCAGGATGCTCTCCATTCCTGTCTTAGTGTTCCTGTTTTATTCTGTTTTCTGTTGCTATAACAGAAAGCCTGAGGCTGGTATTCTGTTACAGAGCAGGTGGTGCTGGGGATGGCCCCCAGGGTCATGTACGTGCTGGGTAAGCATGCTATCATTGAGCCACAACCAAGCCCCAGACTGGATATTGACAAAGGAAAGCTTACATAGGAAAGTGGAAGGGCAGGTGGGCCCATGCAGAAGACAGGAAGCATGGGAGATGAAGTCATTTCACACTAACACCTTCTCTCAAGAATGAGTCCGCTTCTGAGAGAAAAGCATTTTCCCTCTAACTGACCTGATCACCTCTTAAAAGCTTCATCTCCCAACACTGCCACAATGACAATCAAATTTCAACCTGAGTTGTTTTGTGTGTGTGTGTATGTGTGTGTGTGTGTACCAGAGATCAAACTCGGATCCTTGCACTTGCGAGGCAGGTGGCGGAACCACTGAGCTAAATCCCCAGCCTAACCTGAGTTTTGTGGGGGATAAACCATATTCAATCCATAGCAATGTCCACCCCTGACTTCCCAAGGATGCTATAATAAGTACAACAGTAGAATGTATTATCACCCAGCTTTAGGGACTAGAAGTCCTAAACTGAGGGGTTGGTGGAGCTACACTCTCTCTCTCTCTAGCAGAGAACATGTTACCAGCCTTACTGGCATTGCCTCTATCCTTGGCACTCCTGGGCTTGCAGACTCAGCTCTTCAGCCTCCACCGCCACCATCACATGTGGCCTACCTGAGCATCATCGAGTCACCTCTCTGTGTCTCTTCCTCTAAGTTGCATTGTCCATGCTACAGACCTCATCTTACTCTGACATCTACAGAGACCCTGTTTTCAAAGAGGTTACCCAGGCAGGAGGAGGCTGTCTCAGTAGCCCAGGTAGCACACATCAATAGGACCTGCAAGGCGGAGGAAAACTGGAAGAAGCACTGGATGTTTTTGAGCAGATTCCTCTACCCAAGCCATCTCCCCACCTACCTGTCTCCTGGCTCCTGTAAGCATCTGACTTTCTGCAGTAAAAAAAAGGGGACTGAGAGAGAGGGTCCATGCTTTAGTGAGAAGAGCAACTACAGCTTATCTCAGCAAAAAAAGGTGGGGAGAAAGGCAGGATGCAGACATCTTCAGGGCAAAGAGCCAGAGATATCCGAGAAGGCAATTTATGGCATGAGGATATCTCAGGAGGAGGGCTCCATCAGGAAGGGTTCAGATGGGACCCTGGGTTTCCCACAGAAGTTAGCCCTTGCTGAGCCATTAGGAAAAGAGAGGGAATGAACCGGGTGGCTTGAAGCTGGGTCTCAGTAGGGGAAAAGGAGTTCTGATCATCCTTCAAACCTGAGCCCTTATGTTTTTCAAAGCACTTGCACATTCACTGTTTGCTTTAACCCTGCCCCAGGGCAGAGAAGATGGAAAGAGATCAGGAAACAGAACTAGGAAACTAAGTTTGACCTCTGTGAGTGTGACCATAGAAGGGGATTGAGTTATCTAGACAAAACCATGTCTTCTTTTTCCTTTGCAATGCTAGGGATCAAAGCCACAGCCATAGGCGTTATCAGAGCTACCCCACTACCCCAGCGACTGGCTAGCCACAGGTCTTATTAACCACCTACCCAGACCCTTCCTCCCACTCCTCCCTTTCCTCTTCCCTCTGCCTTTTCCTCTTTGTTTCTTTCATCAAATGATTGCTTTAAAAAAATAGTGCTATGGTTTAAATATGCCTTGTACCCATCAAAAACTCCTTTTGAAGCATGGTCCCCAAGGTAATGGTGTGGAGAGGAGATAAAGCCTTTGAGAGATGTTTGAGCCATGGGGGATCTGCCCTGGAGAAGGGATTAATGTAGCTCCTTCCAGTGTGGGTTCGGTATCATGAGAGTATTTGTTATAAAGCAAGTTCAGCTTCCTCAACTTTCTCATTTCCTCTCTTCTCCTTTCCACTGTGAGGTTCTCCCTCAAAGCTGAGCAGATCTGGGCACTTTTCCAGCCTCCAGAATCATGAGCCAAAAATAATCTCTTTCCTTTGTAAATTACCCTGTCTGAGGTATGCAGTCATAGCAACAGAAAATGGACTGAGACAGCAAACTATTATGCACTTCTTAATAGAAGTGCCAGGCAGTTTGGTAAGGGCCATGGTTGCCCTCTGGTGCTTAAGTGGTGGAGACCACTGTAATCCTGCAGAGTTTAGAGAAGTGTTCTAGAAGCCCATACACAGGACCCTGAAGTGTAATCTTACAGAGGGGAAGAGGCTCAGGAAAGCCATCTCAGCCCTAGGGACGCGCTTGGCTTGCTGAGTAGAGTTCATTCATCCAGCAATTGTTTAGTGAGCACCTACTCTGCACCAGACACTGTTCTGGGTGCTGGGAATCACTGGTGACCATAGCTAAGTAAATATCTGCCTTTATGTTGCTTATACTCTCACAAAATAGCTTAAAAGAGTGGTTTGGATGGGGTTTACATGAATACACTTCTAAGAGGTGTTGTATTAGCCAAGTAGGATAGTCCTGTAAGAGATTGATGACAATGATGACTGCTGTGGAGATTTTTATACTCTGCAATGTTAGGGCTCAGGCAGTGCAGCCTAGGAGACGAGAAGCAGACCAAGACACCAAAGGCCAAGCACTGAGCTAAGTAAGGGATCACAGTTTCGGAGGATTCTGCTTCTAGAAGTCTGGAGAACCAGAAAGTCCTCCTGCTACAGAAGCCCCCAGATACAGGAAAAACCCTGTTCACAGAAGCAGAGCCAAGACAGTAACAGGTTGCATCCCAATCCTGAGTAAAATAGCATCCACTGCTGAGCCCCTTGAAGACCTCTTCCCAACAGGGTATCCTGGAGTAAAAGGTGGCATCCTTAGCTGTATGTCCTCTTTCACAGTCTGGTGTAAATCAGAGAACACCTGTGGGCTGCTGGGCTTTACCATCACCAGAGAAGACGAGGTGGTGGTGAAGGTGGAAAAATCAGGCTTTGCTAACACCCTCAGCCCCACTGCATCCTACGTTAACATGCATTCATAATATCCATGCCAAGAGAATTGGGACCTTTTCCAGATTCCTTTAACAGAATGTAGCACTTTTGGAGAAAACACAGTTTATTCTTGAATTAGTGATGGCTGCTAGAAATAATGGCTTATCAGCTTCAAAGTACAGAGATAAAAGTTAGGAGCCATGGTCAGTTGAAAGAAACATTTGAATAGTGAGAGCTATAGAAAAAAGACAAGGTTCATACCAATATGGTCTTTTTATGATCGCCAAAAGAAGAGAAGTAAAACCTACCCTTTAGGCCAAGGTTAATTAGCAAAACCTGTTGCATAAAAAAGTGAAAAGCCACTGGTTAATGAGAAGAAAAAGAAAGCCAGAGATATTTTAGAGTAGAGTCTATAGATACCAACACTAAGTCAAAAAGATGGACAAATCATCATGGGTCAGAGGAACAGAAAATATGGATAAGACTCATGATTATTACAGGTGAACCATAAAAGTCTTTGTCCCATAGTGCCTGTATTTAAGTCTTATACACTGCTGTGACTTGGATATGGTCTGAGCATGTCCCTCAAAGTCTCCAGTGTCAAGAGATGCTAGATCTCTAAGAGATGGGGCCTAGTGGAAGATGATTAGGCCTTAGAACCACTGCCCTCAGAAGGGATTAATGTAGTCCTGGAAGGACTGGGTCAGTTCTCCTGAGAGTGGGTTGTCACAAAGTGAGGCCACTCCATGTTTGGGCCCTTCTGCTCCCAGTGTTTCCCTTTCTGCTTCCCCATCATGTCATGATACAGCCAGGGGGACCCTCTTCAGATGTCAGTCCCATACTGTTTGGACTTTGCAGACACACAATCCCGAGTCAAGCATACTTTTTGTTATTTATGCATCACCCGGCATCAGATATTGTTATGGTAGCACAAAACAGACTTAAGACACATATTTTTAAAATACAAACTACTAGGAGAGCATACCAAATGTTACGCTTAGCTTCTTTAAAAAAGAAGGTAAAATAAGTTTCAGTGTCTATGCCCAGTTCATGAACCTTTGTAAAGCCAAGTTTGAGGCTGCAGTTCAGACACTGCAGTTCACCCTAAGGAAGCTAAACATAAGCATAGCCTAGAACAGAGTTTACTCAGCTAATAGATGGTGGCTCCCTAACCCAGAGAAAAGTAACAATATAATCAATATCTTATTGCTCTCTTTTATCACTAAAAGTCATAGTGTTTTTATCTTCTCTAAGCTTTATTAGAATGTATAATGCATTGTGTACCCTAACCACTTGCATTGTTGTTGAAATGCAGATTCTGATTCAGCACATCAGGCCAGGTGTCTGAGCGACTGCATTTCTCGAAAGCTCCCAGAGATGTGCTGTGGCTGCTTTGTGTCCCATCATCCCCTGAGGAGCAGCTCTGAATCAGTTCACTCACCATCTTGGTCCCCACAATTCCCACAGTTTTGAAAGAAAGCCAAGACCCTGGAACTGTAGCTCTCACAATTTCTGATACATCTAAATCACCTTGAAGGCTCATTTTAGAATGCAAATTCCAAGGCCTTGACCTGGAAGATTCTGATTCACCACTGCTACTTCCCTGCATGCCTAGACCTAAGCCTGGCTGTAGCACAGCTATGCCATCAGGTCCTCCCAGCTCCTGAGCCTGTCCTCCGGCCATACCCCTTTGCTTGCAAAAAGCCTGATTTGGTGGCCTTCTTCTCTTTGAATGTCCTTTGCTGGTTCTCATGATTGTCTAGTTTTTTATCTCTGCTCAGATGTCTCTTCCTCAGAGGGGTTTTCCCTGACCACAGTCTAAGGTAATGCTTTCTGCCACAGTCACTGTCCCTGTGCTTTCTTGCCTTCCTTCCCAGTTCCTGTTACTCTCTGGAATAATCTTGTCCCTGCATCTGCTTATTGGTTTGCTGTCTGTCTTCCATGGCAACAGGAACTTTACCTGCCTTGTTTTCCACACTGAATTCTCAGTACCTAGCACAGTGCTGGAGAACTGAATGAATGAATGAATGCACCCTAGTGGAGAAAGAAGGTGTAAAGTAAACAGTGACATGAATTCTGGCCTTGGAAATTTAAGACTTCAGAGTGAAGCAGAAGTGAGCATCTCATGAACAAAGGATCCTAAGAATAGAAAAGGATTCATCATGATTCCTTCAGGGTGTGGAAGAAAATTAAGTTAGGAATAGAAGATGTAGAATACAAAATTCATTGTCCTTCCTCTGTATTTCATTTTAAAATGATAAAAATATATGTTCCTGGTAGGCAATTTGGGAAAACAGAAAAATTTAAGAAAGTATATACCACATTAACTGACCACCCATGGGTAACTTTGGTTTTCATTTTTGTGTTTTTCCTTTTAAATTATTGTAAATGTTTTCAAATATGTGTGTCTTATATACACATATATATGGCACATATACTTTCATGTTCTGCTCTTTTATTATTTCACATTATAGGATGAGCATATTCTTGTACCTACAAAGTGCCTTTAAAACATACTTTTAATTGGTGTTTAATACTCCATTATATGATGGAAATGCATTATATATTTGTTTTACTTTTTGTTCAGAAGAGCACTCTTGGTACTGGCTTTCTTTAAAGTGGAATAGAAATGTCTAATAAAAGATTTTTCACCTTGATGAGAATAGTGATTGTCAACCAAGTTGATTTTGCCCCTGAGTAGGCATTTGGCTGTGTCCAGAGACAGTTTTGCTTGTCATAACTGGGAGAGGGCATTGGCATATTGTGGGTGAAGGCCAGGGATGCCGCCAAATCTCCCACAACACTTAGGACTGGCCCTACAACAAAGAATTGCCGACCTAAATGTCAACAGTGCTGGGGGTTGAGAAACTTGCTATCCAGGCCAGTGTCAGGGTTAATATTCAACATCCACTTAAAATTCAAATTCACATTCTGCCATTAATATACAGGACTTTGCCCTCAGATTATGCCTTAAAATGATGTCTCAGTTAATTAGAACTTCAGCTACTAGAGTCTAGAACAACTTGTATTTTATTTTCATAATTTTTATTTTAGTAGAAAATTTTTAAAAAATAACAATAAAAAGTGAAAGTTGAGTTTGCATTTTCATATTTATTTACTTGCCTATTGTAGGGCCAAACCCAGGGTCTCTTGGTGCCAGGCAAGGTCTTTATCACTGACCCACATCCCCAGCCCAAGGCTGTATTTTAAAAACAAGGTTCCAAGGATGAACACAATGATTCTGGGGTTTATCCACATTTGGGTCCATAGCTTCCTATAAACAAACTCCAAGACACAAAGAGCTTCTGGGGCAGATTCCCAGGCTGTTACTGGAGCCCAGTAGAAAACACTTCTCTAAGGCAGAGAAGTGATTCAGTCATTGTAGAAGTAGACATCACAGATTTTAAAGTGTGTGGAGGGGATTGATGAGTTCTTTGTTAAATTCATATATTTGGAATCCTATTCCCTGAACCTTTCCTTGAATGGAAGTTTTAGTCTTTTATGGCTTTTGCAATATGCGGATTTGTTGGGAGAATTCCACATTTAGTGGAAACCACCTTCCTCCCCTTCTGCTGAGAAATGTCAACATCCCTTTTATCCTAGATTTAGATCTTTGAGACTTTACCTGACCTTTGCGTGGAGATAATTGATACAGAGACAATTTGTTAGACTCTGCCCCCATAGAGGATCCAAATGCCACTTGTTCAATCTAGAGCAAAGTGAACGTTTGCTATTCCTTTTCTTCTACTCAGATTCTGGGGTTCATTGTGAATAGAAAGGAATTTAACTTGGAAATGTTTGGAGTTACATTTCAGATATTTAAAAGAATAAACAAAAGGCCTTCCCAAGGAGATGCTAGATAAAACATATCAAACTCAACAGAATCGGAAATCACTTTCTGAGCTATAACAATGGCAATGCAGTCTTTGTTAACACAAAATCAGAACTGAGAGCCAGTGAGTGTGGGCTGAGGTCAGTGATTCACACCTTGAGATGGGTGTGTGCCTCTGAGGGTTGCATTTGTTGACAGCTTTACCTTCTGCAGTATTTTATGTCGCTGATCTCCGCAGCCTCAGACCTGTGGTGAGAGGTCAATGGAGTCTCCTTTGCTGTCCGATCATCTTCACAGAGGAAGCCATCTTCCCTTCTCATCTTCTCTCCCCAGGGTAGGCTGAAGACAAGAAGCATCTCTTGGCTCTAATCAGCTACATCAGCTAATGACACAGATTGTATCATTTGAGAGACCTGGGAGAACAAGGGGGTGTCACAGAAGACAGCCATGGGAATGGAAGATGATTTAAAATAAGCAATCGGGCTGAAAGAGAATATGTTGGTTATAAAATAAGTGCAGGATTAAAAGAGATGAATGGGGAATCAATTCTTACGGCTCTCTCTTTTGGGTGATATTCACTTTTTTTTTTTTCCTTCTGCTCTCACTTGGCAACCTTCAGTTTCTAAATACGCATTTTGTTTGTAATTTTCCATTAAAATACTGATTCAATTGAAGAGTATGATACAGCCAATGCTTTCAAGATTTGTAAGGCTGAAGATGGGCAAGTGCATTGCTCACAGGAAAGACACAGTGTATTTATCTGCAGACACAAATGTATCCACCCAAACGTGGGTGGCAGCACAGAATATAGGCCCTCCCAACACACATGCACACACACACGCACACACACACACACACACCTGGAGATGTATATTAACTTGGGCAATTTACCAAATGGGATTTGCTTATATTCAACTGAATCAAATAGTTTGGACCAGAGTAAGTGTGCTGCAGGTGGTAAGAATGGGAGGTGGAAGGGAATAAAGTTCATGTGGACAAATGTCCTTCCTGGTACAAAATCCCCCCAAATAGTGACTCCATCTCAATAAATCCAGACTTATTACTTCAATTTATTCTCTAATTCAACACATACTTATATGACATCTATCTGTCCAGCAGATACTGTGACAACTCATGAATAAGATATTGGGCTTGTCCTCAAGAATTAGGCTTAAGTGGAGCATATAACAATTTTACAAATGGTTGTTGCATAAGTTACCAAGTACTGGTTCCAATTGACTTTCCAATTCTAAATCAAACTGTCAGAAGTGGCACCTAATACTCTTTCAAATGCTTCCAGTCAGTGCAACTGGGTCTTCTAGTAGACCACACAGCCCACATTGTGCTGAACCCTTTATCTATGGCACGTGAAAGAGTGTGTTAGTTGGATTCTTTATTAAAACAAAGAGAGCTTCCTTATAAGTGGAGTTTATAGTACTTTAATTGGAGGGTTTTTAGCTCCAGAGTAATTTTCTTTGGTACTAAAGGAGACTGCCGCTTAGAAAGTATGAGTTATCTAACAAGGTCACCTAGCTCACAGATTTTTGTTTTTCTGCCGTCTTCCTGCACTGCTATATTTCATTGATAACGTCACTCATGCCTAGACATCAAGTAAACAGGAAATGTGGCTGTGTTAGCTTTGGGTGCCTAAAGATACTTCCTGATCTAGGCAAGAAAGACTGAAGAAGATCCCACTGAGTTAAACCATGGACAGTCAATAGTTGACTGTCCGCTATGTAACAGAGCTCAATAAACCTGGATTACCATCCTCATCTTCATAGTCATTGTTACTGTCATCCTTTTGTGTTTTTCTTTAAAGAAATCCATTCTGTGAAGGTCTCTACTTCAAAAACTGGTAAATTCATTTCTCAAAAAGATTTTTCACTTTTCAAAGGCATCTTCTATCGTATTCATTTAAATTTTGATCTACCCTCCAGAAAATTTGTAAAATGGAATTCATTATTATGTAAAAGAAGATATATTTGCTCTCAATTTAACTACATATTTGCGTATAACATAAGAAATGTTAATTAGATTTTCATTATCAAAGGTCTAAATGACAGTGATAATCAAAAATGACCATAAAGCCTGAAAATACAGATATTATTAGTTGTTTTTATGACTGAAGATTTTCTTGACCACAATACTTTATGGACACCCTGAAGATTATAAACATAGTAAACAAGAATAAATTATTTGCCATTTTGGAGGAATTCCTAGTGATTTGCATGCTTGGTTTTTTTAAAAAAACATATATTTAATGATGGAATCTCTGTGTTTATAAACAAAACTCAAAAAATTTACAGAGAAAGAAATCATTTTGACTTTCTTACTCAGTGTTGGTTCCATAAACCATGGCCAAATTATGGCAAATCTTAGCTCGAAGGGTAATTGAGTTATTTTGTTTGAGTTAGTTTAATATGCTTGGGACTGAGTTTTTTTTTTTTTTCATTTCACTAAACTAACTACTCTGAAGTTTCCAAATTAAATCATCAGGACTAATTTTTTTGCAGGCGTTTCTGAGTTCTACAATGTGGCGAGCTTTGTTTCCCAAATTTTTTTTGTTTTTTTTTTGTCTGCTTCCTTGGGTGCATGTTAGAAATGAAAATAATTAATTGAACTTGTAAAACACATTTTTCATTTAAAAACCTAAAAAAGAAACACAGAATGGGTTACTTTCTAGTTCGGCTCTTAAAACACCAGGGGGATCATCTGTAGGTATTTAACCTTCTGGAAATATGTGGCTATGCCTTAGTTTTCTGGGTCCAAATTAAACCAGGTGATGCAATGACAAAATCAGAGGCCAGTTGACCATCTGCCTGGTCAATAAATGACCAGCATCGGCCTGAGTCAGCTAACTGTGTGTAATTGGGATTATGTAGCAGGAGTGGCACTTCCTTCTCCACACAAAGGACATAACATTTGTGCCATTTCAGGTGACCATTGTTCTTTTCTGGGCAATGAAAGCAGAAACTCAAGCCATTGAAGAGTTTGCATCAAGAAGCAGCCAAGATGGAGGGAATGACCAATTCTGGGATAAGCATGGTGCGGGGTGGGGGTGGGAGAGTAAAAAAGAACAAGATCAGGAGGAAAACAACTAGTACTAGACAAATTAGTCACTCAGCCTTTAGGTCTGAGATAGAGTCGCATTTAGTGTCCCATTCCTTTACTTATATGGCAGAATCCAAAATAATTCTGCATTGATTCTGAAATGAATTGGGTCAGATACTTTACAGGCTAGACAAGAGCAGGGACAGTCAACCCTCTCAGCAAGCTGGTGATTAGTTTGTTTGTGGGAGTGGCACTCTTCGGGCAGGGTCTGACAGGAGACTGTGCTCAGGGGCTCCTGGAGAAAGGACCCAGAGCTGCAGCAGCAGCAGCAGCAATACACTAGGGACAAGGGCAGTCAGATGGAAGGCTGAAATCAAGGCCTTGATACCCAGCCATGAGAGCAAAAGAGGAACATGGAATCTCAGCATCCCCTTTCCCCTTCTCCTGGACAGAATGTCAAGGTACTAGGGTTAAAACAAACAGCAGCACTGTAAACTCCACTGAGAAACAAAGTTTAGATGCAGCCTTAACTCAGGATTTCTCAACTTCGGCATCTCTGTCATTTAGAGTTGGTCAGTTCTTTGCTTAAGGGACTGTCCTGTGCACCAGTTAGCAGGACCCCTGGCCTCTCTCTAGTTGCTTGTTGTGCCATTTCTACCTCCTCTCCACCATCCAGGTAGTAACCACAAAAATACCTGTCCCTGAGGGGAGGAAAGGGGCTAAATTGCCCCAGGTTGAGAATCACTGTTTTGGGCCCTCCCGTTCTGCTTTGCTGTATCTATGGAGGCAATCATAGTCTGTCCCAATGCTTGGATTATCTGGGGATCCAGGACTTCATGAATCTATCTGCACATGCATCTGTGTGGGGGTGAAGATTTGTCTGTGCATGCGTGCATGTGTGTGTATGCACATGTTTACATGTGAGCATCGGTGTCAGTAAAATGACCCATGGAGGATGTTTCAGGGGCCAATCAGTTCTTGTTTCCAAGTCAATGCAAATGTGCAGTGCAAAAGCCACGCCTGGAGCCAGAATGTGGACAGAGATGCTGCCTATTTTGAGGCATAAGAGGCCCACTGAAGCTCACACGGGAACCCAGAAAGCTGACCACTCCCAAATCTCTCTGCTTATCCCACACCTATGATGTGAGCACCTCACATCCTCTGGGGTCACACAGGGAAGACAGCCAAACAAAGCTGCAGTCCCTAGAGGGCTCACCTTCTGGAGGGTGGAGGCAGCACGCACAGGCGTGGAGAGGAGAGTTTTCAAGGGGCGTGGCCTTTCTTGGGGCCAGACTCCCCAGAAGCTTTGAGCCCCCCCCCGCCCCCACCCTTTCACCTTTCCCTAAAACCTGGAAGGGGACCTTGGCAGTGAGTTTGTCTCTCTTTAAAAATGAAACCTGCAAAAGTAAGATGGTTTTTCCTCCAACTGCATAAGCTTCCAGCTCCACAAAACCTAAGTCTCTCTTTGATTTTTAGCTTTCTGTACATTACAGAATCAGTAGTGTATCTTCCATAAGACATCAGAAAAGAGAAAGAAAAAAATGCATCCAGTTTTAATTCACTGACAGTATAGCAGAAAGAAAATACTTGTTTCAATCAGAAAGCTGGGAGAAAACATACTGTAGCTGGCCCTTGTATTGAGAGGTTTCCAGTGTGCTGGGTCTAGGGGCTGGGTCCTCCTAGGCACAGGCTCCAGGGCAGAGGAAGCACAGAAACCGAGAGTTCCTCACCAGAAGGGTGGGGCAGGAAGCGCGATCTCTGCTTAGGAGGGGCTGAGCAGCTGGCCAAAGCCCCTTTATAGAAACTGGCGGTGTTGTCGCTCCGGGCCTGCCCCTGGCTTTCTCCCGGCCATTGTGCGCCCGTATTGATCAGGCCGGGAGGCAATAGGGCCGTGGCAGCTGAAGCTCTGGAGTGAGCAGCATTGATCTGACCCCCTCCCCGGGTTATTTATAGGATGCGCCGGCCTGGCGAGTAACCGAGGAGAGCTTGTTTAACGAGGGTTCAGGGCGCTTTTCACTAGCTGGTTAACTTTAAGTATTGGAAATGGAATTGATGCGCACATAATAATATTATGATTCATACAAACCACTTCTCAGGCAATTCAATACATTTCATTACCTCCTTTCTAGCAAATGTATTGATTTCTGTTTTGCGGTTTTATAACACAATTTCAAGGCTGTTGTGGGCTTAATGAGCCGTGTTCTTATGATGTTTAAAAAGATTTGAAGCTATTGTTGAAATAAATATTATGGATCACCCCCTCTGGAGACCTCCTCTCTCCGGCCGCTCCTCCCTCCTCACCCCCCAGACTGTCCCCTCCCAGGCCAGCAGAAAGCAGGGGGCTGCAGCTTCGCGGCCCTTTGTGGCCCAGATCAAAGGACCCGAGCGCCACAAAGGCTGCCCTACTCGGGCCGCGCGGCCACACACAGCCGCACCTGCAGCGCAGCCAAATGTCATTGTCGCCTCTGCGGGGCGAGCGCGGGGGACGCACCTCCAAGGCGGCAGATGACTCTAATAACGCTTGATGGGAATTGATGGGGAAAGAGGCGCGCAGCGCCCAGGGCTTTTTATTAGCTGCCCCGACTTCTCCAGCCTCAGCCCGAACGCCTGCACCTGTGGACCC